TACTTTAATCCAAACCTTAAGAAAAACCTAAGCATCCACCTTAGCCTAAAACTTCACACAAAACCAAAACCAATGCTAGACACAACCCTGACCCTAACCCTAACCCTAACCCAAACCTAAACCTAAACCTAAACCTAAACCTAAACCTAAACCTAAACCTAAACCTAAACCTAAACCTAAACCTAAACCTAAACCTAAACCTAAACCTAAACCTAAACCTAAACCTAAACCTAAACCTAAACCTAAACCTAAACCTAAACCTAAACCTAAGCCTAAACCTAAACCTAAACCTAAACCTAAACCTAAACCTAAACCTAAACCTAAACCTAAACCTAAACCTAAACCTAAACCTAAACCTAAACCTAAACCTAAACCTAAACCTAAACCTAAACCTAAACCTAAACCTAAACCTAAACCTAACCCTAACCCTAACCCTAACCCTAACCCTAACCCTAGCCCTAGCCCTAAACCTAAACCTAAACCTAACCCTAAACCTAGCCCTAACCCTAACTCTAACCCTAGCCCTAGCCCTAGCCCTAGCCCTAGCCCTAAACCTACACCTAAACCTAAACCTAAACCTAACCCTAAACCTAGCCCTAACCCTAACTCTAACCCTGTCCGGGGGGTTAATGTCCTACTGGGCGGGGGGTAATTGACAGGGGGGTAATTGACAGGGGGGGTAATTACTCTGGGGGGTAATGTCGGGGGGGAAATATCCGGGGGGTAATTGACAGGGGGGAAATGCCCTGTTCCCATTAATACATATATATATATATATATATATATATATATATATATATATATATATATATATATATATATATATATTCATATAAATAAATACATAAATATATATATATTCATATAAATAAACACATAAATATATATATATATATATATATATATATATATATATATATATATATATATATATATATATGTATGAGTGTGTGCGTGCGTGCGTGCGAGCCTTCGTGCGTGCTTGCGTGAGTGTGTGTGTGTGTGTATGTGTGTGTGTGTGCGTGTGTGTATCTGTGTGTTTTCCCCGAATGGACACTTCCCCATATGCGTCCAATGCACCAATTTGGAAATTCTAAGTAGAAAAAAATATGAATAATTGTGAACATTTGGTAAAAACTGGAGTTAAACCAATGACGAAATAGTATGTAAACAATTTCTTATTACGTGCAGTGGAGGTAGAATACTTCGGAGCGCCGTTATACATCAAAGATGGCGGCTTGCCCACTGCATACAAACTTCATCAGTTCCACTTCCACTGGGGTGCCGAAGACGCCCGGGGATCAGAACATTGCATAGACGGGGACCATTTTCCGATGGAGGTTTGAACTTTGTGTTTAGCGTTGTTAGAACATGACGACAAATATTCAAGCTGTTTCCATACTATTTATTTTATTTTCATTTTTGTTATTTCACATTCAATGCGCCTAGGATGGTTTTCATATAAGTATAAAAAATATATAAATTATATACATATATATATATATATATATATATATATATATATATATATATATATATATATATATATATATATATATATATATATATATATATATATACAAATATAAAGATCAGGGCTTAAAATTGATTTATTATTTTAAGATAAAGTATCTATAAAGTATATATATAGATACAAATATAAACATCATATAAAATAGCATAGTCAATTGAGTTATTATTTTAAGATAAAGTGTCTTAAAAGGGAAAATAGATACATTATAAATGTATACATATTTAAAAAATCAAAATTTTATACTTTTTTTTTCTGGCTTTTTTATTTTACTTTTGAAGCATGACGTGACAACAATATGCAACAGGATTAACAAACATTTTCCTCAACTGTTTACCAATATACACAGAACACGTCCATCATTAAATACATTGATTTCTTTTATTGCTTCAGATGCACATCGTACACCACAGAAACCACACCGGTTCCACTAATGTGGCGACACATCAACATGGCCTCGCAGTTCTTGGATTTTTATTTAAGGTAACATTACTACATACGTCAGTTTTACATATCATATACTCGCGTATATATATATATATATATATATATATATATATATATATATATATATATATATATATATATATATATATATATATATATATATATGTATATATATATATGTATGTATACATATATATATACAAATAAATTATATATATAAAATTATATATTTATATATATATATATATATATATATATATATATATACATATATATATATATATATATATATATATATATATATATATATATATATATATATATATATATATATATATATATATAATTGTTATTATTTTTATTACCTTCCTGTCTAGCTTGTCGACAAAGATAATGAAAATCTTAATGAGTTTCTTCTGGATCATTTCTCAAAAATAGCAACACCAGGTAAATGAATCTATAACATTTATTAATACTTTCCATAACGTAAAAGTCGTTTCCGTTTTTTCTGTACAGACGGACGTGCTGCGAATGTGGTTATTTAATGGTACTTTTAAAGGTAATTGCGGGACGGCATGGTCCATTGTTAGAGCGGTTGGCTGCTAGCTTGAAGGTCTTGAGTTCGGAATCTAGTTGCGGACTATAGAGTAAAAAATTCACCTTTTTAAACCCATTGGGCAGATGCAGTGGAATTCATATTTCTTGACCTCGGCATATAAAGGGATAATGTGGTCAGCACTTTGCCCAGGTACAGTGCCCGTCAGAGTTGGGTATACTCGGGGTCGTTCCAGTAACTTGAACGCGGATTCGAACTCGAAACTATCGGTTTAGCAGTCCAGCGCTCCACCGCTAGGCCACGCCGTCCCAGTTAAGAACTGTAGGACGTCCCTAAGTCCATCCAGCTCTGAAAGATTTACTTTGAGGAAAGTAAAGGCGGTCACTTATAGTGCTGACCACACCATCCCTTCATATACAGAGGACAGGATCCATATCTTCATCTGTCCAAAGGATCGCTGGGTCTAAACAGGAAGCTTTACTTGAAATTACTTTTTCCGTTTTCATAGAGAGAAAAACAGAAATCCCAGCCTTCGCTCTGTCCAAAATTCTCCCTGACATCGCCGAGCTCGACTTTTATCGTTACAACGGAAGTCTGACCACGCCCCCATGTTATGAGACGGTCATTTGGTCGGTATCGACACAGTTTATTTATATCTCGGAGTCGCAAGTAGGTGAATATTATAATAAACCAATAATATAATATTGTAAAACTGCATTGAAAATAAGAAAGGAAATTAAATATGATATTTGTAGTAAAAGCAGTGTTCGCAACCAATTCTATTACCAGAAAAAAAAACGAGTTTTATTTTTATTTTTTTTAATTGTTCTTGAAAACAATTCACCGCCATTGGCAAGTACTTATATTGTTATCTTGTTATTAAATTTAGTAACCTTTAAAAATTTGTAATGACGTATCTAGTATTTGATTAGATATTTTTGTGTTGTCTTCAAAGACGAATGTTGATGGTAAATGTATTCAAACTCGCTGAATTAGAATTAGGTAAAAACTGAGTAACAATGCTTGCTACAAACTTTTAAACAAACAAACAGCCATTGTAAATTTAAGCTTAAAAAGCCTATATCGTTATGCTAACTATGCCCAAAGTACACATGACAAAAATCTATATCGTTATGCTAACTATGCCCAAAGTACACATGACAAAAATCTATATCGTTATGCTAACTATGCCCAAAGTACACATGACAAAAATCTATATCGTTATGCTAACTATGCCCAAAGTATACATGACAAAAATCTATATCGTTATGCTAACTATGCCCACAGTACACTTGACAAAAATCTATATCGTTATGCTAACTATGCCCAAAGTACACTTGACAAAAATCTATATCGTTATGCTAACTATGCCCAAGGTACACATGACAAAAATCTATTTCGTTATGCTAACTATGCCCAAAGTACACAAGACAAAAATCGTTATGCTAACTATGCCCAAAGTACACAAGACAAAAATCGTTCTGCTAACTATGCCCAAAGTACAGATGACAAAAATCTATATCGTTCTGCTAACTATGCCCAAAGTACACATGACAAAAATCTATATCGTTATGCTAACTATGCCCAAAGTACACTTGACAAAAATCTATATCGTTATGCTAACTATGCCCAAAGAACACTTGACAAAAATCTATTTCGTTATGCTAACTATGCCCAAAGTACACATGACAAAAATCTATATCGTTATGCTAACTATGCCCAAAGTACACTTGACAAAAATTGTTATGCTAACTATGCCCAAAGTACACATAACAAAAATCTATATCGTTATGCTAACTATGCCCAAAGTACACATGACAAAAATCTATATCGTTATGCTAACTATGCCCAAAGTACACTTGACAAAAATCGTTCTGCTAACTATGCCCAAAGTACACATAACAAAAATCTATATCGTTATGCTAACTATGCCCAAAGCACACTTGACAAAAATCGTTCTGCTAACTATGCCCAAAGTACACTTGACAAAAATCTATATCGTTCTGCTAACTATGCTCAAAGTACACGTGACAAAAATCTATATCGTTCTGCTAACTATGCCCAAAGCACACTTGACAAAAATCGTTCTGCTAACTATGCCCAAAGTACACTTGACAAAAATCTATATCGTTCTGCTAACTATGCCCAAAGCACACTTGACAAAAATCTATATCGTTATGCTAACTATGCCCAAAGTACACTTGACAAAAATCTATATCGTTATGCTAACTATTCCCAAAGTACACTTGACAAAAATCGCTCTGCAAACTATGCCCAAAGTACACTTGACAAAAATCTATTTTCCTCCCTTCCAGTTGAACACCTTCCGGGACCTGTACGGCGACGAACAGCAGCATCTAGTCGATGACTTCCGACCCTTGCAGGAGCTCAACCACAGGGTCGTCTACACCACGGATGAAGAGATCTCCGTGGAAAACCCTAGAAACTCCGCGGTCACAGGAAGGACAAAAAATGTGTTGGCCAATATACTAATTTGTTGCGGTCTTTATTTAATATAAACTAGGCTTGTGCACCTTACCCCCCCCCTACACACACACACCCACCCCCACCCACTCCTTGTAGATACTTTTATATTCTACATTCCACTCTTGTAGACTTGACACTCCACCATTTCAGGTGACCTTACATCAACTTCCAAGTCTGTTTGTCTTATTACATATTACATTCAGCAAACGCAACATTCACTGTTTGTTATTCTAGTTTACAAAAAACACATTCAATAGAAATTTAAATCAAGAATATATTAAGTTTTTATTTTTAAAAGTTAGTTGTTCTAAAAGATTTGCAACGTTTTTTTGTAATAATTTAATAAAAGATGTAGATATATGAGATTACAAAACTTATTAAATTATATTGTTACAAAAGCATGTATGCATTGTTATTTTTTGAGTTTTGTTACGGTTTATATAAGTAAATATTTAAAAAAAAAACCCAATACACATCATTCTGTCTAGCTTCTAAAAATTATTAGTTGCCTCCCCTTACAAAATCAACACATTTCACTCCCGTTCGTTTGTTTACCATCCTGAATACACGGTCAGCAAGATAACAAGGTTGAAATTATTTTCTACCAAGAAAATCCGAATAATTTCTGGAGATATAAACAACTTTTTGTTTATAGTTATAAGCTTTTAAACGCACAGAAAATTAGAAATTAAAACTAATATGTTTTCTTTAATAAAAGCATTGGTCGCTCATGAGATCTTTAACATATTTTACATATTTTAGCGAAAAAAGCTTTCATTAAAGTAAGCGAATTGTTTTATTTTCAGTGGATCCAAAAGCCTATTATTACAAAAGTTTTTTTTTTTAATTTTCCACTATTTAGTTAATGGAGATTCAATGTTTTGTTTGGAGAAAAATATAACGTACGAAAAATAAGTTAAAGGTCATTTTTCTTTTTCGGTGTAGTGGGTTGATGGGGTATTGGGTTACAACTAGAGCTGAAGTAAATATGGGATTAAAGAAGAATATAAATATAACAAGCAGCGTGGACGCTATGTAGTGTGAAATGAGTCACATCAAATCAAACATCCCCTTTTAAATAGCAGTCCTTAAACGTTTCTTTTCTTTTGTTTTACACAATTTATTAAGAGTTGAATCACTCTCATTTTTTTTTCAAGGTTAATAATGTTTATTATCAATAGAAAATGACATACATGATTACAAGACCATAAAAGGTTTGAATATAAGGGTCAGTAACAAAAATAATCTGAGGCCATAACAAAACTGTCTACTGAACTGAACCAATTAAAACTAAATCTGAGTAGATAACATGGCAAAATGACCAACAAGTTGACCCACAGGGAGTTAAGCAGCTTATATCAATGCAAGACAGAGTTAAACTGCTATTACAATTGAAAAAAATGTTACACAAAAATTTACCCTTGCTTAAAGAGCCTTACACATTAACCTGAAGTTTACTAAATATTAAAATTTCTCAAAATATTTTCAAACATTTACGCAAGAGGTTTATAAAAGGTTTGGAAACTGAGATTACGTCATTATATTAAACTATATTATTACAAGGCGTGTATGCATTGTTATGAATTATTTGAGTTTTGTTAAAGTTTATATATTATGTAAACAACTGGAACGGACACATACAAAAAGTGATTTTCCAACAAATTATCTGCCAATGTTTAAACATTATTCGTTGCCTCCCTTTTCGTCCTTTGCGTTTTCATACTCCTGTACATCTTTTAAGTACCCCAAGGGAAGCCATCGATGATTTTCAACATAGGCGCGATCAGCGTATGACAAGTCGTTAAATTCTATTCTGTTCGCGAAATCCAAATAATTTGTGGAGATCAGATAAAGACAGTGCCTGGACAACTGTTTCGCATTGAGCATCTGGAGAAAAAAAAAACATTTTAAAAATGTAGGTTTAAGTTTTAGACCCAAGATATAATATAGGTGAGTTTATACTAAAACGCTGATAAGTTAACTTTATTTGGGGGGGGGGGGGGGTAAGGACGGAAGAAACGCTGGTTTAAAAATGTATTCAAACGAGATTTTATTTTGTTGTTGTTACCCCAAGACACAAAACAAAACGAAACATAGAGACTAAGACTTTCTGCTGACAAGCGGATGTAAGCCTTCACATTACCATAATGGGGGTGGGGTGAGGTTTATTCATGTGGGAGTAGGATTACCCCCTCCCCCAATCCACCATTGTCACCCCGAACAATTATCGCCGCTGTGAGTGGCTTTTTCCTAAGCGCGTCTATTGACGTTGCATTTTACTGGAAAAATTATCTAATCCGACATTGGCTGCGCTCGTGTATTAAATAAGATTGGCTGGCTGAGGGTTTATAAAGGAAGAAAACTTGGACTGCTGTGAATTTGTTTTATTCGAGATATTTTGTTATACTTGCCATTACATATTCAAAACATTTTAATTCTTCAATATTATAAAGTGTTTTTACATATATTAAATTTAACAGACTTCTTCATTTTCGTTTTTAATTTTAGTGTTGGGATTCCCTCCAACACAATTAAATTTACGTGTCAACTAGTTATGCGCCATTTAGGCCGTTAACTCCAATTTCAGCCTGCTTTTCTTTTTCAATTTGCTTCAATTGCTTCCCCTTATTTAACTTATTTAACAGACAACACTATCTATCTATATATATATAATTCTCTTCTGGGAGACGTTAGCAAACAAGCTGCAAGCGCCTCCTTACAGTCCCCTCTCTTTCTCTCTATCACCATCACTACCAACCCCACCCCACCCCCACATGGTCTGGTGAGTTGTGGTCACGCTAAATGTTTACAAATCGTAGAGCCGGGTTTAGTGACGGCTATTAGGGGCAGATAATTTAGTTTGAAACTATGTTAAACTTACAGGAGGTAACTAAGAGGAGGCTGCTTTCACGGGGGGGGGGGGGGTGTAGGGTCGGGGTTAGGGGAAAGGGGGGGGGGGGTTAGTGTTTTAAGCAAATATTTTCAGTGGCAGCATTGGTACTGTAGAATTCACAAATTATGAATTACTGAAAAGTAGAAAATAAAATAACTAAATAGCGGGTCGGCTCGTTGTTATTACTGTAGATATGGATGGGGGTGTGTTCCTTACCTGAGCTGTGTTTAAAACTCCAATCACATCAATCTCAGCTCTCTGTATTTTAGCCTGGCATGCCTTGTCCACCTCTTTACTCAAATAAAGTTCACACAAGTTCGCAAGTCTGGGCAGGCAGTTTTCATCTGCCAGTGCTAAAATCCCAACTAGGTCTTCGCTTTCTTCCAGTGGGGCGTGGTCTGTGTAGAGGTACTCTAATAACGCCAGGAAATTTTCTGCTGATGTGTTGTTGATATTGATCTGTTAGACAGCGAATAACGAACATGTTTTCTAATGCCGTAACTCATTTAAAACAAATTACGACTAAAAAAATGTTAAATATTATGTTTTTTGAAAAATCCCAACACTTTAAAACATCTAACCGTCACATATCAGTTTTGTGTTAACAGCTTTTATAAATCAAGTAACTTGAATACATTAACTGCATTCATGTAAAGTCAACAAGTTTTCTGTACACTAAATAAAAGCTAAAGGCGAATGTTGGTTATTTTCACATTTATCTGGAATAGATAGGAACCTAAATCTTAAATATAAAAATAAAATATGGATAAATTAATTCAATTTTTCTTAATTAACGTAATCAATTAAGCATTCAATCTTCATCGCAAGAAAAAAAAATATCTCACTAAGCGCTGACAACAAAACATTCAAGGTTACGCTAGCCACGAATTTTAAAAAATTGATGATGTCAAAATTTTACCATGCTGTAAAAAAAGGTACAAAATCTAACATGAAACGGAACAAAATTTAACTCACTTCTACTGGCTTGTCTTTGATCTCTTGAGACCCTGTTGTAAGTGTACCAGAAAACATGGCCGCCATCACGTGACTTCTGGTATACAACACAACTTTGTGGGCAAATATTTTTCTATCTGTTGGAGTCATGTCGAATTTTTGTTATAGGTTGATATTGATAATGTGTGTTTTGTTTTTTTGTTTGGTTTTTTTTTACAGTAAATAATGAGTAAATAAGTTTATTTGAAAATTTGATTTGATCATGATTACATATTTTAATTTAATTTAAATACAATATTTTTTATTAAACCTAATCAAACAAAATAAACTTAAAAACACATCTAAATAGAAGCAACTAATAACGATAATCTCTAAATTATCATAAAAGTTACACATTTCTAAACTATTTACTGGAATCGAATGCAATAGAATCTAATCAAATAAAAAGTGTACCTTCAACACAAAAAACAACATCTGCATTTGCCTCTTGATTAAAGAAAAGCTCTTTCATTTTTGCAACAGTTTCATCAGTGAGATATGTTCCAATGCTAGGATTCAAAAATTCCTCTTTCTTTAAAATATTATCACAAATTGTGGTCAAATAAGGGAGTTGAAAAAGTAAAGACACCTTCCGCAGTTCTTGAATTTCATCTTCTCCACAATCTTCAGGTAAATTTGGAGTACCTGAAATTTTTAAATAATAATCATTAAAAAAGTTTTAAAAAACCCACGTTTTCTGATTGAACTCAAAAGTAGAAAATAAATGCTATACATCACAATAATGCAAGCGATCACTCTACTATAAGCGATCAAAAACGTGGGGCGCCGAAGTAAAAGTTATATTACTATTGATTAGATAATACTATTGACTTTTATTAGGGAGCTTGTAGAGAGTCAACAGTATTAGAAACTGTAAGAAAATCACGGCGCCCCACGTTTTTGATCGCTTATAGTAGAGTGATCGCTTGCATTATTGTGATGTATAGCATTTTTTTTCTACTTTTGAGTTCAATCAGAAAACGTGGGTTTTTTAAAACTTTTTTAATGATTATTATTTTCTACTTTTTAGTCTTTGTCTGTTTGTTTGCATTAAAATCTTGCTATCGATTTTATCTTTTCACTTTTTTTTTTGGGTAAACGAAGACAACTCGTAAAAAGACAACTCGAAAAAAAATCGTTGTGTGAATACGTTACTGACTAGAACACATAGATTTGAACCCGTGTCGAGTGGGATAGCAATCGTGTGCCCAACCACTCGACCATATCGTCTCCCCCATACTGGCCTATCTCCTGTAAGTTTAAACTCGGTTCAAACTAAATTATCTGCCCCTAAGCCTGTGGCGACGTGGGATCGTTCGCTTCACTGCGCGCGAGGTACGCGTCGCTCGTTTTTTTTCTAATGGCTCGCAGAGGAGAATTATATATATAGATTATATAGCGGTCTAAAATGCTCAATAAAATGTTTCCATTGATCAATTTAGTAATAATAACAATTGAATATTCTATGGTCATCCAAAAGAAAGCTTCCCTGAAAATTTCAGCGCGCTAGCTAACTGGGAAGTGCCAGAAATTTCGATCGCAAGATTTGATTGGAAAAACAAACAAACAAATAAAAAAACAGAGAAAGCAAGTTAAAGAAAACGTGGGAAAATAAATAGTTTTAGACATGCCGGTAAGTTTACTTTGTAGAATATAAAAAGAAAAAAATATTAAACCTGTAAATTAATGAATAAAATTTTTACCTGCATATAAAAACTCTAGAACTCTTACAAAAGTTCCAGCCTTAACGTCTGCACTAAGTTCTATGGTTGTGTCCGAACCAGTATCATAAACTGAACTGATTCCTATATGGAACAAAAATCATCATATGGCAAAAGATTAATTTTCTTAAAGTAATAAATAATATATTTAGTACAGATTTAAAATGAAACCTTAGCAAATGTAAGTCCAATTTTGTTTTACAAATATGCAAGTTAAAGGTCTCTAAATTAGCTATAGTATTAATCTTTTTTTACAAATTACTTTTCAAAATCTTTGAATTTTTAAAATGATATATTGTCAATAAAAAAAAAAATTTCAAAAACATTTATGTCATTTATACAGTACTTCTCTAAAAAAAACTTTTTATCTTTGTAAATATTGTCAACTGAAAAATCAATCAAACGATCAATGCATACCTTCAACTTTACCAGCATTCAAATCCTCTCTCTGAAAACTGTCAATCTGATTTAACTCTTGTAACTGTGAACTCTGAGAAAAAAGAACAACCTTTTAAAAAGCTAATTTCTCAAACAACGAAACAATTAAACGTTGAGTAATGTAACAACTTTAATCACATACCGTACAAGGCATGGTACTGGCCAAAACTTGTCCAAACAACTTGGAGGCTGAAGACAGAATTATTCTGTGAGCATGAAGACGTCTAACACCTTCGACAAGAAATGTGACATCGTGAAATTTGGGATCCTGCAATGTTTTTAACCAGTCACCAGCAAATTCTGATGTTTCTATTTCCATCCAAGGAGCTTTGCCTACAAATTGGAATATTAATAGATTTACAAATTCGACATTCAAATTTGAAATTCTTTAATTAGTTAATTGAAAAATTCTTTATTAAACGACAAATTCCCAATGATTTCAATAAAAATGATTGCATAAAACAATAATTTTGTTCTAATATCAGGAACCAAATCGGGTGGAAATTCAAATTAATCGTGAACCATAGAAAGCACATAATGATTAATATTTTTATTGCTAAAATATTTTAGCATTTATTAATATTTATTATGCTAAGTTGGTAAACAAAAAAAAGATAATTACAATCAAAATGCATTTTATCTCGTCAAATTTTCTGTATCTCACATTTCAATTAAGTGTATTGATATCTTTTGTTCTCTAATTATTTTATTTGAGTTCAGGCAATTTAACAATTAAATAGATACTAATGTAGCCTATAGTTGCTAAAACGTAACCTGTACTTTTTAAAACAATATACAGCTATCTTTTGTGAGTAGCTTGTACGAGATTGTAAACTAATTGTATTTAATTTTATAACAACAATTAAAACTAAAATTAAAATTTTGAAAACAGTTTGTAAAAATTACTTTTTAAAATGCGAAAAGGTGACGTAATATTTTCGTAACCTCCCCACCCTCTTTCCACAATTTCTCACGCATGGTCACAAAAGTTCTACATACCAGCCCCCCCCCCCCACACACACACACTAGGAGATGTCCAGTATTACCCCGTTTTGACCAAACGCACTCCATAGTTTGGACCTTTGCTACAATAACAACAAAAACATAACACTAATCTACAAAGATGAAACTAGTTTCTTTGGCTTAACTGTTTTACATTATAAATTTTTATTTCAGCAAGTTCACGAACTCTATGGGTGTGACATCCAAATATTGCATTTATTTATTTTATCATTTCATCTAAACCTACCAGCAGAGGCGTAGCGAGAGGAGGGGGGCAGGGGTGCGGACCGTACCGGGTGACACCATTTAGGGGGGTGACACCAAGGCAAAAAATAGTAAAATATATAGAGAAAAATTTGAGGGGGGGGGGGTGCAAATCAACAGTTTGAGGGGGGGTGCAAATCGAAAATTGAAAGTTTGTCCCCGGGAAGAGTCGCTACACCATTAAGTGCCGCACCGGGTGACACCCGACCTCGCTACGCCACTGCCTACCAGCATTGGGCAAAACTGGGATAACTGGTGGCATTAGAACTGGCTTATCTGTACTTGAACCGTCCAGTATTTCGAGGCCGTTTGTTTGATTGAGTTCCATGAAACTCAATGCTTGTTCAGCCTGGAGAGAATGTGTCATATAAGTATTTTAATTAAGTACTATCAAATAGTGGCCTTAAGATAAAATAGTAAATACAAAAAGCTAACACGCTAGATTCAAGTTGTTATTAATCTCCAAATGTTAAAATTTGCTGTTAACAATATGCTTCTGCGAAAACTGTAATTTGCTTAAACATAAAGGTAACACTGACTCGCGGTAGGAATTACCAAAACAATTACACATAGGAATATTTAGCCTGAATGATATTTAGCCAATAATAGGCTTATTGTGGCTATGTAAGTTTTCGGTAAGGGTCGCAAAAAAACTTAAGCGTAAAGTTTTTGCTAAAGATATGGTTAGAAAAGAAGGTCGACCTAAATTAATGTCTCACTTTTTTTACGATTATACCCCCTCCCCGCATTACTGTCAAACATCGCCACATAAAGTATTTCTATATGTACATAGTGCGGCTGAGATAAAAGGACCGAGTTGGCAAAAACTAAAAGACTGACCACTGACCACAGACGTAGAGGTTGGTGATTTTTGACAGAGGCCCTAAGTTCCACAAGGAATATAAAGCCTAAGTTCCACAACTTATATAAAGCCTAAGTTCCACAACTTATATAAAGCCTAAGTTCCACAAGGAACATAAAGCCTAAGTTCCACAAGGAACATAAAGCCTAAGTTCCACAACTTATATAAAGCCTAAGTTCCACAAGGAACATAAAGCCTATGTTCCACAACTTATATAAAGCCTAAGTTCCACAAGGAATATAAAGCCTATGTTCCACAACTTATATAAAGCCTAAGTTCCACAAGGAACATAAAGCCTAAGTTCCACGACTTATATAAAGCCTAAGTTCCACAAGGAATATAAAGCCTAAGTTGCACAACTTATATAAAGCCTAAGTTCCACAACTTATATAAAGCCTAAGTTCCACAACTTATATAAAGCCTAAGTTCTACAAGGAATATAAAGCCTAAGTTCCACAAGGAATATAAAGCCTAAGTTCCACAAGGAATATAAAGCCTAAGTTCCACAACTTATATAAAGCCTAAGTTCCACAACTTATATAAAGCCTAAGTTCCACAACTTATATAAAGCCTAAGTTCCACAACTTATATAAAGCCTAAGTTCCACAACTTATATAAAGCCTAAGTTCTACAAGGAATATAAAGCCTAAGTTCCACAACGAACATAAACTATCCCAACTAACCCCTATTCTTTTGATGTTAGACGCTAAAATCTCGTACAACAAATTTTAAAGGACTTACAGCAATTTCGAAGCATTTGTCTAAACCTTCCCGAGTTAAAGCACTGATCTCTATAAAGGGTGCGTTCAGTGATTTGGCCAGTGCGTGTCCCTCTCCGTAGCTTACAAGGTTCTCTCCAGTATCTTCCGCTCCGTGACGTAGGTCTGTGTCATTTAGAAGCATTAATTACATTTCGTTTCATCTCGCTACAGTCACATACTGTTAATTAGTGTGGATTTGCGTGAATTACTTTTTCAACAAATAATGCGGATTTGAGGCAGCCGAGTTTCTTTGATGCATCTATTCTTTGGGGGGGGGGGGGAGGGGGGCGTGCTCTCACGTCTAACCCCCACCCCCCCCCCCCCCCCACCCGGACAAAATTTAAAAAATATAGATACAAGATTATATATATATATATATATATATATATATATATATATATATATATATATATATATATATATATATATATATATATATATATATATATATATATATATATATATACTTAAAACCGAAGTGTCACTCGCCCCCTTTGCCTTATAACGCAATATAACAAAATGATAAATCAGTTCCCCGTCGCCTACTTGTATAATAGCCGAACTACTAGAGGGGGGGGAGTCTTTAAATGACCATGTGTATCCCTTGTCTCCTCGTCACAAAAAATCATACCTTTTCCATCTACCCCTCCCTGTGACTCAGGGCCGGCGCTACCTATAAGGCGAACTAGGCGGTCGCCTAGGGCGCTGTCCGTATGGGGGCGCCAAAATGGGTTGGAAAAACAAATTGAAAGTTTGAGGGGAAGGTGCAAATCAAAAGTTTGAGGGGGGGGGGTAGAGTTTGTCCCCGGGAAGGGTCGCTACGCCTCTGATAATACGGGGGCACGAAAAAAATTGCGGGGGGGGGGGGGCGCTTTTAATAAGTTTGCCTAGGGCGCTAAATAACCTGGCGCCGGCACTGCTGTGACTCTAAAGAAACTACTCCACCCCCACACCAAAAAAAAACCAAGGTCATTACACTTCCGCCTGTAACACCCCCCCCCCCTATCACCACCACCCCTACACACACACACACTCACTCATTCGAAATTACGTATTCGTTTCCGTTTCCGTTTTTTTTTTTTTTTTTTTTGTTTGTTTTTTTAAACGCGATTTTTTTTTCGTGCACTGAATGAGGTAGAGTAGAGTTCATCTGTTTCAATGACCACGGCATAAGAAGGGATAGTGTAGTCAGCCGCCTTTACTTTACCTAACATTAGAGATACCAGTCAGAGTTGGATGGACTCAGTGATGTCTTACAGACTCGAGCCCTGGATCTGAACTCGAGACTTTCGGGTTAGCTGTAGAACGCTCTACCACAGGACGATTTCGTCCCTTTGTTTATAAGTAAATATGGGACGGAGTGGTCTAGCGGTAGAGAGCTGGACTGCTAACCCGTAAGTCTCGAGTTCGAATCCGGGTTCAAGTCAGTAGACCGTCCCTGAGTCCACCCAACTCTGATGGGTACCTGACACACGTTAGGGAAAGTAAAGGCGGCTGGGCATAGTGCTGTCCACACTATCTCTGCATATGCCGAGGTCACAGAAACAAGTGAACTCTACTTCATTTGCCCGTAGACCGTCAGGAATGAAAGGGAAACTTTACTTTTATAAGTAAATAACCTAAATATTTATCAATACTTCATCGAATAGGCTTGTGTTCATGTACCTAATTTAGTTGCTACGATGACAAAAGGGACTTTGGGGCCATGGGCTTGAAAGTCTGGGATCCACTTTTCTTTTAAATGTAAGAACGATTCTCTGCTTCCCATTGAGTAGCAGGCAAGAAAGACGTTCGTGTGACGGTATAAATAACGCTGGCGAACATCTTCGGCGAATAGCTGAAATAAAGAATTTAGTGCATTGGTAAAAAAAATCATAACAAAGTTTTTTTTCCAAAATATTGGATATTAGTTGTTTTTTTTTATTTATTGTAAATTTTTCATAGAAAAATATATAATTAATAAATTAATAATCAATAGTTTGAAAAAACCTGTCATTTATAATTAATAGTTTAAAACAGTGGTTCTTAACTAGGTTCGATGGAAGTCAAGACACACATCCGACTTTTATGATTTGCTTACGGAAATTATGTCAGTGCGGACGATATAACTAGCGGACGCGGCCGATAACAGTTCAAATACGACAGCACACAATAGTAATAAAGTGCGCCATATCGGTATAATAATATTTCTATATAGTGAAACCCTTGACGACACAAAACACATACATCACGAAGCGTGTCAACGCCACCTATACAGGCGCGCATTGATTGTGTAGTCTGTTTAAGTACTGTGACGAACATACATTGTATTTCTATTTCGTGGCGGCCAGTAGTCGACTTATGATGGTACGTTATGTGATTTCTTGACTTATGATGGTACGTTATGTGATTTCTTGACTTATGATGGTACGTTATGTGATTTCTTGACTTATGATGGTACGTTATGTGATTTCTTGACTTATGATGGTACGTTATGTGATTTCTTGACTTATGATGGTACGTTGGGTGATTTCTTTATTAATAGTTTAATCCCTTAATATATTAACTATGTCGTGCAAAAAAAAGAAAGTTGTCGGAGAAATATATACAATATGGATTCACAATATGTATGTCGAACTTGATGGGAGTCCGCATTCTAACTACAATATTTGCAATGCAAAAATTGAGCACTTTTATACATTCTAGTCTGGCACCGATAAAACCAAGAGAATATTTACTTAAGCTACATTGGAAATTGGAAAATACAAAATCACAAACACAACGCATGTTGAAATCGTGCATTTCAGACTGGTGTCTAAAACTACTGAAAGGCAACAGCAGAAATCACGCTAATTTGCAGTTAATTTTATTTTTGTGCTAAAATTATATTTTAACGGTTTTGTTCTTTCAACACAATTAGTTGGTGCTCGGTCATTTTGTGCACAAGTAAAATACATATGTTTTGAATTTTTTAAAAAAATTCTTTATTTTTTCCTATTAAGAAGGGTTCGGTGAATGCTCCTAAGAAGTGGTGGGATTCGGTAACTTCAAAAAGGCTAAGAACCACGGGATTAAAATATCATACTTGTCATTTATAGTCAATAGTTTAAAGCTTTAACATATAGACCTACTTTTCATTTATAGTCAATAGTTTAAAGCTTTAACATATAGACCTACTCTTGTCATATATAGTAAATAGTTTAAAGCTTTAAAATATTGACCTACTTTTCATTTAAAGTCAATAGTTTAAAGCTTTAATAGATGGACCTACTTGTCATATATAGTCAATATTAAAAGTTTTAACATATAGATCTACTCTTGTCATTTATAGTCAAGAGCTTAAAGCTTTAATAGATGGACCTACTTGTCATTTATAGTCAATAGTTAAAAGTTTTAACATATAGATCTACTCTTGTCATTTATAGTCAATAGTTTAAAGCTTTAATAGATGGACCTACTTGTCATTTATAGTTAATAGTTTAAAGTTTTAACATATAGACCTACTCTTGTCATTTATAGTCAATAGTTTAAAGCTTTAATAGATGGACCTACTTGTCATTTATAGTCAATAGTTAAAAGTTTTAACATATAGATCTACTCTTGTCATTTATACAGTGTTTCTTCCAGACTTTTTTCTCCGGGGGGGGGCACTGGAAATCTTCGGGGGGGCGGTAAACTTTCTTCGGGGGGGCGGACACTGTTAAAAGTATATATTTTCTATATAAATTATATAAATTTCATTTCGTTCGGGGGGGCGGTAAAATTTTTTCGGGGGGGCTTCGCCCCCCCGAAGAGATGCCTGGAAGAAACTCTGCATTTATAGTCAATAGTTTAAAGCTTTAATAGATGGACCTACTTGTCATTTATAGTCAATAGTTTAAAGCTTTCACACATAGACCTTCTTTTGTCATCTATAATCATGAGTACAAAATATCTTACATCAACCACAATATCCAAGTATGCCATGATCACCGGTTTACCAGAGAACACGTAATGGAAGGAGCAGTTGTCGAACTGCCTGGGGAGCCATTTCCGTGGGAAATCCTTGGTCGTGTAAGCCATGAGCATGCACGTTTTACCAACACCGCCGTCTCCAATGACAACAAGCTTTATATAAGGGCGATCCATGGGCACCTGTGAGGCGTATGCCCCGAAATTGAGCAATCAGTTAATGAAGATTTCGTTTTAAAAATAAGCTTATTGGTGGTTTTCTGAAAACGTGTGCAGTAAAGTACACTATAATAAAGTCTTAAAATTTAAAAGGTCGATTCTGATAATTATTAGATCTAGTGTATGTAGATGTTTTTAGTAAACAACATTCTAGTTAGTGATCATATTTGTATTTTTTTTTATTTATTTATTTATTATAAGCATTTTTGCAAGAATAAAAATGTTTAATTTAAAACAAATGAAAAACCACAAGCTTTTCTTTAAAATTAGACGCTTCAATATTTATCCTTTTTTTAATAAGCAATATTTTTTTAATGAGCAGTTTTACCGTATATAGACTATCGATAAACGATATTTATCAAAGATTTTTTTTTTGTCAGGGAATAGAATCGAGTTTAAGTTATATCACCGATAATATTAATTGAGTTATTTCCCTTTGCTTACCGGCTGCTATTTTTGTTCACTGTCGATTCAGCCTGAAGAAAATATTGTAAAGTCACGTTTCAGACTCGTTGGTGAAATTTACGTAACCATATATTTTTTAACTATGCATTAAATGTAGTTCCTAATTCAATGCAAAAAAGCAAGCCCCCCCCCCACTCCCCCGCCCCTTCTCTCTTTAACAATTTTAGAAATATGATGTCGCTTATGCATGAACCTATTACACGATTACAGATTATAATCATTACACACGTAATCCAATAGTGATTCCATCACAAACTGATGCCATAAAAACACAGTCAAAGACTGGCAGATGAAAACTATTTTAAGTATTTTGGTAGATAACATTACCAGGTCTAGATAATAACTTTTCGTAATTGAAAAACTTTACCTTACAGTTTGCTTGGTCTTACGTATGTTCTTTATATTATTAAGTATTCGATGTCTAGAACTGCTTGAAGTGTTGGCTTTGAACAGATAACCCGATCTGTTATATACTCGTTTGTTGTTTGTTTTTTTTTTTTTTTTTTTTTTTTTTTTTTTTTTTTATATACATCTTAAATTTAAAAATAGATCAAAACTGGACGAACTTTTGAGACCAATCAAATTGCAGGTTTTATACAATACATCTATCATTAGCCTTCTTGGGCTTTTTTTATTTTTAGCCATCCAATCGGATTACTATACCCAATGTAGAATTCTTTAAATGGGCCTACTAAGCTGCAAAACACTACTAGATAAAACTCAGTTTTCTAATTGAGATTAGCTAATCTGTAAAAACAGCTGGATATATAAATTTATTCACTAGCTTTAATGTTTAAATACGCAATGATGTGGTTTCTATAGCTAGCTTACGATCAAAGAAAGGGAAAAGCAATGTATTGTATAAACAACAGCAATTTTAAAACAACATCGGGTTTTGCCGTAAAAAAAAACTTGCTACTAGAAATCTAGATTCTATAAATGTTTAAGTTAAAGCTAGCTTTTCGCTAAGTCTAGTCTTTCGTGTATCAATAATTTTAGAAACCCCACAAAAAAACATCGGCTCTTGAAGCTACCGTCTCTTGTGCATCCTTTATGTCTATTGTGCATCATTGATAATAATTGATATTTCAATTGAGCTTATTGTTTACTTCTCGATAAAGTTTTACATCAAACAAAAAATTATAGAGCTCGCTTCGGAAAAAAATGGGGAAGCATTTTCACGGAGTCTAAACGTTAACAATGTTTCTTTCAGAAATGTTTCTCTAGTGGGCACTTAAAACTTTCCGCGGTGTCACAATGACATCTCCGAATGTGGGGTGGTGGTGGTGCTGCAGGGTCAGAGTTTCTTCCAGGCATCTCTTCGGGGGGGGGGGGGGCGGTAGACTTGCCCCGAACGAAATGAAATTTATATAGAAAATATATACTTTTAACAGTGTCCGCCCCCCCCCCCCCACCCGAAGAAAGTCTACCCCCCCCCCCCCCCAGAGAAAAAATTCTGGAAGAAACACAAGGTACGATAAAATTGAAAAATATATAATTTGTAGGGCCTTCCACTGAAAAGTTTTAAGTGCCCCTCCCAGAGAAAAATAATGTCTGAAAGAAACACACAACACCCACCCAGTAATTATATTCAGGCTAGGCCTATACAATGTATATTATTATGCATATATATATATATATATATATATATATATATATATATATATATACATATATATATATATATATATATATATATATATATATATATATATATATCCTAAATATAAGTGTGGCCGTCATAAATGGATGCCCCCTATTTCGTCACGATCATATAACTCATATATAACTAGAATATACTAATCATTACGCTGTAGTACTGAAAATGCCCACTATTGTCAAAGCAGATTCACTCTTTTAGCGATCTACACACATCCTATAACTTTTTTACAGCTTAACTGTAGTCTGTGTAGGCCAACTTATTTACTTTTAATAGGCCCTCACGTCACTTTTTAAAACAACTAAAATATAACACGTCCAAACTGGCATAAAGGCTACATGTCTATTTATAGACAGAAAACAGAAATGCCCATGCGTCTAAAAATACCTGTGCGACCCACTTACATCAAGTAGGGCTGATCTACCTTGGCTAAACCGGATAATATGTTTAATATAATACTATATATGGTCCTATAGAACAACAATCGAAAATATGAATAGATTATTGCCAGGAGTTTTCATTTTCAGCGGTGCGATCGTATTACTCGGATATTTTGTTCAAATGACAAGTCAGCCGAACCTATACTATTCTCAACGATACTGTCGTTAAGTCACAACAAGCACGCAGACAGATAAAACTAACAAAACTATAAAACCAAAGCCGCACTAGCCGCACTAGATAACTTATAGATCTAGATCTAGAAATCTAGGTCTCTATACTAACTACTGTGACAACATAACTAAAAGGTATGCCTGGTTAATGGCTATAAGTATAAATCAGGATAATCTATATAGTATAGGCCTACCTATACTCCTATCTATAGGCTAATTATTAGGCCTAATTAATATAATTAAATTAGTCTATAGTCTATAGTAATTAAGTAATTACAATACACTTATTTTTACAATAGGTTATCAATTAAATCTTTTGTTACTGGATAGGCCCTGGATACTAGATAGTAGTAGATAGTAGATAGATCTAGCTAGGTCTAGTAAATTCAGTAAAGCCTAGTAATACTAGGCCCTAGTATTAGTAATTACTTTAATACTTATTTGTTAGTATTACAGATTATTACTAATTAGGCCTACTAATAGGCAGGGGTCTAGATTTTTTTTGATAATCACATAGGTGCCTGCCACATCTCTCTCATTGTACTCACTCTTCTGACAATAGAAAAACGTCATAAACCATCTACCCTCTTTGATAATATGTGCTCCTGCTCAAATAAAAAATATCAATGTACTCTGTATTATAAATAAATAGCTCACTTCCAATGTTTAAATATTATTAAATATTTTAGATGAATGAATCAAGCAGAGATATAATTTCTGATCCTGTCCCGTTTGATGAAGAATGTGCAGATATTCCAGAAAACGAAGATGTCGCTTTTAAAGCCATCAGATTCAATGACTTTTCAGCTGTCGAGCGCCGCATTCATGAAGGTTTCAATATTAACAGTAGACACCAAGGTAGGCCTGCTGTATGATAACACTGCATTTCATCTACTTTATTGAATCAGATGACCTTATTTCTATTTTAGATGCTTTACTGTTTAAAAAGTGGGACGGAGTGGTCTAGCGGTAGAGAGCTGGACTGCTAACCCGTAAGTCTCGCGTTCGAATCGGGGTTTAATTCAGTAGACCATTCCTGAGTCCACCCAACTCTGATGGGTACCTAACTCACGTTAGGGAAAGTAAAGGCAGCTGGGCATAGTGTTGATCACACTATCTCTTCATATGCCGAGGTCACAGAAACAAAACAAGTGAACTCTACTTCACTTGCCCTATAGATTGTCAGGTTTGAAAGGGGAACTTTACTGTTAAAAAAGGAAGTAAACAGAAATTAGAACTTCTATAGGCAATATACGCACATTCAATTCACCATGATATTAAAACTTGATTGCGGGACAGAGTGGCCTAGCGGTAGAGCACTAGACTGCTAACCCCAACTTCTAGAGTTCGAATCCGGGTTCAAGTCAGTAGAATGTTTCTGAGGCTACCCAGCTCTGATGGGTACATAACTTGTGCTAAGGAAATTAGAAGTGGCTGGGCATATAATCTTTTCATATGCAGAGGTCACAGAAACAGGTGAACTCTTCTTCACTTGCCCCATAGACAGTCAGGTTTGAAAGGGGACTATATTAACTTACTAGAACTACATTATAAACCCTGATCTTTTTTTTGTTTTTAGAGTGCCCTGGTGACAAAATATTCTCCATCAAGGATCAAACTAAAATGATGCCAACTCTGAGACTCAAAGAATATTCCATACTGCATGTGGCTGTCATCCATGGATCCATTGAGGTATGTTTATTAACACTTTACACATGGTATCAGTTTTTTGTTATAAAAAGGGTTTTGTCTGACCAAATTGGATCAGATAACTTATTTATGTATACAATGCTATTGTCAGATAAACTAATACATTGCTAACTGTAGTGGAGTAAGGCTGGCTTAGGAAAAAGCACACACTTATTTAGTAATATTTAGCTACACAATTTATATAATTCAGCAGTATATATACAAAACAAGTTGAAGTACACTTGCAATTCTGGCTGGCAATAAAGCAAATTGATTAGTTACACCTTTAGCTAAAAATCAAACACAACAAATTTATTGGAAAAACTTTTAATAATGTTTTGTTTAAGTAGTAAAACAATTTTTAATAATTTTTGGTTGTGGTAATTAAAGAAAAGTTTTAATAATGTTATAGTGATGAAACAACTGTTTTAGATAATGGACACCAGCGAGAAAAGTCTCAAAGGTATTTGAGAGGTCCATAAATTCATTTAAAAATCTTGCACGGCGTAGTTACAATTAATATGTTTATAAAATCCTGTCTGTCTAGTTTTTTTTCGGTCTTTACTAGAGATTGGATGTATTTGATGTTTTTAATATTTTCGGTAACTAAATAAAAATTAAAAAAAAAGCAAAAACAATTTGGTTTTCACGTGTAATGGCGACATAAACAATGGCCGCCATAAATTTTATTGAACTCATTGTAAGCTAAAAATAGAAAAAATAGGTCATGGTGTTTAAATTTGCATAGTTATTCAAAAACTTGATCTGCAAAGTTTTGTAAACAAAATAACTATAAAGTGGGGCTGTCAGAAATCGATCACGGAGTTCCTTGACAGCTAATCAATGTTTGTCTTACGAAAGTGAAACATTGGGTTATAACTTAGGCTTGATGAAAATAAATAGAACTGTAGCCTTTAACTCAACAAATTATTTTCAAGTTCTCTGGATCTGCAACTTGTATAGCATTGATTCTAAAAATATTACATTTCTGAATTAATGTTAGGCTTAAGTTTTTAATAAAATCTTATCTTTTATTATTTTTATGGTCCTAAATCTAAAAAAGAACATTTTTATTCCATGTCAACAACATTACGGAAGGAATCTCGTCAACTCGCTGGTGTCTATTCAGCTACTACTTACTCATTGAATAGATGTTAATGTTCTTGACTTCAACATGTTTGATAATGTTTTGTAATAAAAGAAGTTTTAGTAAAGGTTTGTTTTAGTAAATAATAAAACAACTGTTTCAGATTATCCAGCTACTACTTACCCATGGAGTAGATGTTAAAGTTCTTGACTTCAACAATTTTTAATAATGTTTTATAATAAAAACAAGTTTTAATAATGTTTTGTTATAGTAATAAAACATTTTTAAATAATGTTATAGTAACAAAACAACTGTTTCAGATGATCCAGCTACTATTTACCCATGGAGTAGATGTTAATGCTGTTGATTTCAATAAGTTTTCTCCCCTAGTCATAGCAGTGGCTGTCAAGCGTTTGGATGTCGTTAGGTTGTTAATAAATAATGGTAAATTAATTAAAATTAATGAAAACTAATTAAAACATTTGGATGTAGTTAGGCTGTTAATAAATAATGGTAAATTAATGAAAACTAATTAAAACATAATGATGTAGTTTGGATGTAGTTAGGCTGTTAATAAATAATGGTATTTATTGAAAATTAATTAAAACATTTGGATGTAGTTAGGCTGTTAATAAATAATGGTAAATTAATGTAAACTAAATGATTGTTTCTTCCTTATGCTTTGACAATCTAATATATGAAAAGGTTATATTATAGACCTAAGACTTATTAAATAACTATATATTATTATAGGCATGCTTGTATCTTAAGACTAAACGTAATTTGGCCTTATCGTAAACTGTAATAGAAGAAAAAGTTTTGATATGTTTTTGTCCCGATAATTTAAAGCTGCATCAATATTTTTCTTGCTTGTTTAGCCTGTTTATTGACCCTGGTAATATATGTTTATAAGTTTGATGACAAAATTAACCAACTACCATTTCAGGAGCAGATGTTGATCTTCAAAGTACCAGTGGCAGAACACCCCTCAAAGTTGCAATAGAAAATAACCACCTCGCAATTGTGCAAGAGTTAATCAAGGCAGGTGCAGATCTAGATCTACCAGATGGTCAGGGGACTACACCCTTGTTTATGTGTTTGAAGTCTAAGAATTATGCGGATAAAAATATAGTAGCTGCATTAATTAAAGGTATAAATTAATTTATTTAATAATTTCAGACAGTTTATATTGTTGAGCTATTCCCTATATGTAAGTCTCTTGACTATTTTTTTTTATAAGATTTGCGTCTACAACAGAATATATTTTAGCTTATAGTTTTATAGAACACACTAATTACAGTCTATTTCAATTAAAATGTGTAATTTTATTTTAATTCAAAACATTATTGTTGATAATATATTTCCTAACATGAAGAAAACAATAATAACCAAATTAAATATATAAATAAATATATAAAAAATGCATGCAGTATTTCAGAATGCTTAAACAATTTAAGTTCAGCAAGTATTTTTGTCATCATCTGAAAGAGGGGGTAATTAGAGGTTGTGTTAAAAACCATCTTAGTTTTGTATTTACTATGTTCATGATCCGTCACTTTAGTCCACCATATGTGCATATGTATGTTGATGTTTAATCACTTTTATGTGTGGCACCAGAAGTAATTAACATATTGTTAATAGAGACTAAACTAATATAAATCAACTTAACACTAATTAACTTTGTATTACTATACACATTCTTTCACTAATGGTCAGTTGTATTATCTCATTGGGGCAAAAAAGAGAACAGTCTACCTGCAAAAGAATCTATCAGTCTTATTACTCTTATATTTTAATTTTTATTAAAATGTTATTTAAAATGTATATAGCTTATTTTTCTATTGAATTGGCATTTAAAATGTATGTAGATTATTTTTTAAATTGTGGACAAAAGGTGGCTGTAATGTTAATCTGACAAACAAACAAGGTGCAACTCCTTTGATGATGGCTGCGGCTATGGGAGAAATTGAAATCGCCAAACTTTTTCTGGAAGCAGGCGCAAATATAAATAAGGTGGGCCTATGCTTTACAAAAGTGTGTGTAAATATCATAAGAGTAAAGTACTAAATATAACCTTAATTAGGTTGGTCTTGATTTATCCCAGGCAAAATGTAACACTAGCTGTCTGTCTTTTCCTGACTGCTGATTATGGTTTTAGCACTATGCCTATCTGCCTTAGCTTTCCCCAAGTCAAGTAGCTGTGTAGACTCTGAGATATCCAATGGATTTAAGGCAGAGAACTAAACTCAATACATTTGGGTTAAATCATGTGCTTATCTCTCCATCTTGATTTTAGCATAAAATTGTCTTGCCTGATTGATTTTATAGGAAGTAGTTCATGTTAACACAACACCTTGTATTTATTTAAAACATCTGAGACATGCCTTTCACTTTTTAGTTGGATGCTTCTGGAAAAAATGCACTTCACATGACCTCTGGTATTAAGATGGCACTTTTTCTCATCAATCATGGAGCAACTAGCGATTACCCAGACAAAAATGGTAAGGAAAGCTAAGCTATTATTCATTACAGTTTTTAAAAGGTCGTTTATTTTCAATTAGAAATTGACACCATTTTATAATGGGGCACTTCCCCTTCTTTGATGCTTTGAACTAGGTCTGGCTAATTGAATTTAAAATAAGTCATGCCAAGACTAACTATGAACCCACTTTTTCTTTTGATTTCCCACATAACCTCAACTAAACCTTTTGACTGTTTTCACAAGTGAAATGTTTAGTCATTGTTTATGGAGTGAATAATAAATTAATCATAATTATTTCTTTAATAATATTTTCATGATAACATGAAACTCACACTTATTTTACTTAAGAAGAAAAATATTTAAATACTATGTTGTTTTTTGTATATTCTGCTAGAATCATTTGTATTCAGTTTAATTTACTTACAAGATAAAATTGTATTCTGTTAAGAAAATGAGTTTTCAGTTTAAAATAATGATTTCTATCAAGTAGAAGGAATTTTCAAAATAGGGTTAAATTTTTAGCATTTTTCTTTCTTTTAAAGGTATTAAAGTATTTTATTTAGGATATTGTTATACTTTTCAGACTCTATGCTGAAGAAAAATGATGTAGATCTATATTAAACATTTTTTTTAAATATACATATACTGGAATATATAACATTTTATATCTTTTATCATGCATGTTAAGTAAAAATAATATGTCACAGCCCTACTTTAAAGTTTAGTGTGGTAAGTAGATTACAAAATAGCACATTTTATTTTTAAATAAAAACTGTCTGAAGAAACACATCCAAACCAGTAAAATTTGTACTGCATAGCTTTGAAAATACAAATCTAAATCATGCAAAAAATAATTGACGTGTTTATTTTCATGTTTATTTTTTCAGGCCAACATCCAATACATAACGCAGTCAAGGTGGGCCATTACGGCAGAATTAGGCTACTCCTGGGGTCAGATTGTCACCGGACTTCCTCCCTCTTTGATGTACCTGCGATCCACGAGGCGAGGAAAAACTTCCCGCTGTTTGACCGGTGGCTACAGCAGGAGCTGGAGGAGCCCCGGGAGCTCAAACGTCTGTGTCGGCAGGTCATCAGGCAGTGCCTGAGTCCCTTCAACACAACCAGGATAGACGAGCTGCCCATACCTCGCTTGTTGAAGGATTATTTACTGGCTAGACACATTGATCTTTCGTACGACACCGTCAGCATGAACAATGCTAGTTCAGCTCTTCAGAAGCTTGAGACTAACCAGGCTCTTGTTTATAAATATTTGTGAGGGGGTGGGGGGATCCTTTTTAATTGTAAAGAAATGAAATATCTGTATTTAAACTTTCTGTTGTAAAGTTAGATCATTTGTCTAATAGAGAATTTGAACTTGACAATCAGAGCAAGACTTAATCTAAATAGATTAGTCGAAAGGCAAGAAGGGGGGGGGGGGCGTGGGGTGCTGTCCGCACCTGATGACACCATTTCGGGGTGTCATTGATTTTTTTAAATCATAAAATTTACTGAAAAAACAATGTTTTATCCAGCAAGAATAGTAAAATAGTAGTATGCAGAGGGTTGACACAAAACCAACAATGCTAAATTGTTGGAGGGGGTGGGTGTGACCCTCAGTTACCACATCAGGTGACACCTGACATCGTGACACCACTGATTAATAATATATCTAATGTGTTTACACTGTACAATACTTAATTTCAGAAGTACATTAAGCTGAAATATATGTGTATATGCAATGCTATCTACCTAATCTAGTTTGGTATTTGTAGTCCACAAGTGTATTTATTTTAACAAGCCACTAATTAATTATGGTAAAGAACATATTTTTCATGTGTTTTTTTTTTCTATTTTCATTTCTGTTACTGAATTTTACTTTGCACAAAGTAATGTTTGTTAATGATTTCATGTTATATTATATGATTGTAGCTTGTTTAGCTAAAATTGCACTATGATATTATAATCATTACTTATTATGTAAGCTATAGGCCATCTAAGACTGTGAAATAAACAACATATCAAATGCTTTTATTGAATCTTTTTTCATGACTTGTGAAGCAAGCTGTGATAAAGATAAAATATTATTAGCTATCTTTCAGCCACAAATAGTAAGCGGAGGTGGTAGTTTTCATAAGTGCCATTATTATAACATTTTCTGTGGTTTTATTTTTTTATACTCTGTTTAACAACTTTAAGCTGTACTAATTATACTGTGATAATTGTTTATTGATCACAATAAAGACTGGTATAATATAATGAACTGTCATGTTGTATTTTATGTGGTAGTTGGTACATTTGCCCAGTCTGGTTGCTATTCTAACTTAAATTATTTTTTAATATGATGAAACCCAACATTTCTTACCATCTTCTTTTTCTCCCTGACTTATCTTCCTCCTCCCCAACCCTACAGGCTACCCAAGTTCTTTGTTTATTTTTAAAACTCAACACTATCTGCATACACTGCCTACAAAACTGATTGAAACATCTGTATCACTACAAGAAAAGCCCCAGAACTTTTAAAGTGTTTTTTTATATAAATATCATTAGAAAATATGTCTAGAAAGCAGTTCATCAGTGTAAAAATGTAATGATCATCAAATATTTTGTGTACAAGAAAGACAACAGCATCTTCATATACTTCAGCCGTATTAAAAAGCATGGGATTTATGGAAGCCAAAAAAAAAGGTAGCTGAACAATAAAAGAAGTCTTCACTACTAGTGAAAAGTAGGTCTATGCATGACACACTAACAAAAACTTGTGCAACAACTAAATAGGCTACTGTTTAATTTAATACCAGTACTTGTTTTTAAGATTCTTAATCAAAAGAATTGAGTAAATAATTGATTATTTAAAAAAAAAGGAAGTAAAGATTCTTCTTTAGACCTAGTGATCATAGGGAAAATGAAGTAGAGTTTGTTTCTTGACCTCGACATGTGAAGGGATGGTGTGCTCTAGTGCTCAGCATAATAGCCAACAGCCTTTACTTTCCCCAACGTAAGTCAGGTACCCAACAGAGCTGGCTGGACTCACTCAGGGTCGTCATACAGTTGCAAGTCCGGACGACGATCCGAACTCAGGACCTTAGGGTTAGCAGCTAAACGCTCTACTGTTTGACCACTACCTCCCTCAGTCTTTATTTTAGACCTGTATTTTGCAGGGACAGAAATTATCAGAGGCGTAGCGAGGGGGGGGGGTGGACATATGTCCACGGGCGCCGACCTTAGGGGAAAAACAAATTGAAAGTTTGAGGGGGGTGTGCAAATCAAAATTTAGATGGGGGGTGCAAATCGAAAGTTTGAGGGGGGGGTGTAAATCTAAAGTTCGAAGGGGGGTGCAAATCGAAAGTTTGTCCCCTGGCGCCGGGAAGGGTAGCTACGCCTCTGCAGATTATTTTCCCATTAAAAAAAGTATTGTCCGCGTCTTTTTGTATTATGCATAAACATCGCCTCGTATTCTAGGCGTGGCAGGGTGGCCCATGAAACGGGGGAGGGGTGGGGTGTGGGGAAATTGCGAGACGCGAAAAGCGAAATGGCGAGGCGGGAAAATGCGAGAAGGTAATGCGAGACATACCTGCGGAATTAAGGGTAAATAGCGAGACACTTTTTTGCGAAAAAAGTTTTTTTCTTTTTTTTCCATCTTTATTTATTTAAATTCATTTTTTTTTGTTTTAAAATAAACAAGCATTTAGCCATACACTTTAACACGAGTGTTGTATGTTGTTATTTTTTATCTAGATACTAAGAAGATAGATAGATCTATATCTAGATCTATCTATTTAAAAATCCTAACATCGTTGCTGTGCTACTGTCATCGCCCGATCTTGTTAGCGAGAGGAAAATCCCGTCTCAGTCGGCATTAATTTAAAAATCTAGCCCGCTCATGTTTATACATGTTAATAGTGTGACTTCACATCTAACCCCCCCCCTCCTCCCCCTTATCTCACATCGTCATAAAATTACAGACCCCCCCCTTCCCCCCCCCCCCACGAGTGTGACGTCATTTATGGAAGACCCCAAATAACACCACCACCAAAACCAAAAAAAATCAGATAAGTTCAACTTGGTTTTAAAAATATTTGAAGTAGGCCCATAGCTTACGATATAGCACGAGCAACTGATAATATCGGTGACGTCACTTTATTTTTTCCCCAAACAGTAAGTAAGAGAAAAAAAAACTGGGGGCATTGAGAGTTCATAACAGCTTAGGAATAAGCAACACATAAGGGAGGGTTAATCTAGTCCTCACCTTCACTTATGGCAGTAATCGCATACTTATTTTGATGTTATTTTTTTTCTGAATTATTTATGGAAAAGTCACAACCGTGATATAAAATCTAATATAAATTAGTGTAAAGGAACATTGGAAGAGAAAACACACAGTAAGTAGTTCTTACCTCCAGAATAGTTGTATCCAAATGATGTAGGCATTTCCTTGTGCTTAGATTTATATGGTAAAAAAAGCTAGAAAAAAATCGTAGGCGGCGGCTATAATACAAAATTTCTATGCAACAATAGAAAATATGTTTGCGGCGGCAGCGGATCAGGGCACGGCGATCTTCAAAGACGGTAAATCAGGCGTCCTCGGCGTTCCACACAAAAGACAGAAGTTGATCTATCGTCGGCGGTATTTCCGTCGGTTTCGAACAAGGTGGTATTCTAAGTCGACACAAAAGATGGGGGGAGTTGACAAATCATCAGTATGTCTAGCGACGGAAAAATCGGAAGTTTTAACAATGTAAACGAAACGTCTTTGAAGTCTGGACCAAATACCACTGAAAATCGGGTGCGGTAAATTTTTCGCAGAAATCTTCGCATTTCAACACCACCCAGCGTAAGTATCGGCTTGTGGTAAAATGCGAGACAAAAAAGTCACGTGATCGACCGTTTTCGCGCCCTTCTCGCATTTTCCCGCCTCGCCATTTCGCTTTTCGCGTCTCGCAATTTCCCCACACCCGGAGGGGTGGGGGGTAGACATGCTTTGAATTTCTTTAAAGCATCTCTTAGGTGGGGAGGCGAACAAAATAGAATGTAAATACATTATATATACTTTCACCAGTCTCATCAACCACCCCCCTCCCCACCTCCTCCTGAGAAAATGCCTGAAAGAAACACAAGTTATCAGTGTTTCTTCCAGACTTTTTTCTTCGGGGGGGCACTTGAAATTTTCGGGGGGGCGGTAAACTTTCTTCGGGGGGGCGGACACTGTTAAAAGTATATATTTTCTATATAAAATATATAAATTTCATTTCGTTCGGGGGGGCGGTAAAAAATTTTCGGGGGGGCTTCGCCCCCCCGAAGAGATGCCTGGAAGAAACTCTGCAAGTTATTCATGAAGTCGGACGAGTGACTTTATTATCTTTACAAAAATTAGGCCCATGTTAAAAAACGTGTTTATATTGTTCATATTACATGTATTAATGTTTAATAACATAGGTATTAGTTTAAACAAAAAGCTATTTCTTTATCTTTAGGGCCTACTTGGATTTTTTTTTTAGTTTGATATTCATTGATAATGGGCAGTGATTACAGTGCTGTACCGTTATACGCACATTTATAAGAGACGACCTTAGGAAAAACTATAAATAGCAACGTTCCGATTGGACGTCGCTTCCACTAATAATAGATTCTTAATAACTGCATTCTCATTGGTCGATGGTTTGGCCAGGCGTGTTCTATTTTAAGTTTATCTGTTAAAACTATATAATGGACGCGGTTTCCAGTTTAACCAACACTCGGTGGGAAAAAATATTAATGTAACGATAGAAAATAATTAGTTACTATTTCATTTAGAAGAGCGCAAGCAAAATCCAGAGGTAAGGAGAGTTTATTATTTTTGTGTTTATATTACGAGAGAATTTTACTGTCTTTATCGGTTTCATTGTTGGCTATAAACTGGTCTATTGTTTGTAAAATTAAATTATAACAGGCTTTTTATAATTTCAATAATTATTCACTGCTTATGATCTATATTTTTTAAAAATTCCATCTTCACACATCGTCACAAAAACTCACCCCCCCCCCTCCCTTCACACACATACACACATACTGTGCTGTCAAGAGGATATCACACATTTCTTTCCTTTCCATAAAATTGAAAAATGAATTGTTTTAAGGGGAAATGACTCAGCTATGTTTATTATTTCGATATTATTAATTGAGTTTTTTCCCATTAGAAAAAAATATGACAGCAAGTTTTTGCTGTTTTACCAGCTTATTAGTTTAGCCAAAAACTTTGATAATCCCTAGTTAAATGTAAAATATTTACAAAAGAAATCGTTGAACAAAAAAACACTTTTACCAATATAAAAACTGTGACGTCATGTTTCTTAACATCAGTGTTTCTTACAGACTTTTTTTCAGATGGGGGGGGGGGGGGCTAAATTTTCCATTTTGGGGAGGTGACATTGGTAAAAGTACTTTTTTTATTATTGGTGGGGGGAGATTGGGGTAGAAGTGCACTGCCCCCCCCCCCCCCCCCACCGAAGAGATGATTGAAAGAGACTGCTTAACACCCCTCACTCACCTTACATTGTTATCCGTCACTAAAAATCTGACGTACCCTCTCAAGTCTTCTCTTCCCACACACCCCACCTCCACCACCACTACTACCACCACCTCTCCACTGCCTCCAGCTAACTAAGCGAGCAGCTTTACATTTTTGGTTGTTTTTTTTTTTTTTTGTTTTTTTTTGTTTTTTTTTGTTTTTTTTAGTTCGTAAAAATAGCCAGACTACATAATGCAGAGCGTCAAACTTGTCGTGGTCGGAGACGGTGGTGTTGGCAAAAGCTGCTTGCTAATCGCGTACACGACCAACAGTTTTCCAGGCGAATATGTCCCAACAGTTTTCGACAACTACAGCGCCAACGTTATGTTCTCTGGCAAGGCTGTAAACTTGGGATTATGGGACACGGCAGGACAAGTAAGTTTGGTACTTTAGCCTACGCCTGTACCTTTTCACTAGACTCACATAGATGTCTAAATATACTATAAATATAGGACCTAGATTCTAGATCTAGTTATACCAGAAGCGTATCCAGGTTTTCGTTGTAGGGGGAGCGAAAAGGGCAAAAAAAAAAGGCGCCGAATTTTATAACACGTTCTATATACGTTTTTTATACGTGATATATATATATATATATATATATATATATATATATATATATATATATATATATATATATATATATATATATATATAATTAACTACTGCTTCTTTGTGTTCTTTAAAGATCATTTTTAACATAGTGATAGGTATGGGTTAGATCACTGTATTGATCACACACCTTTTTACTGGTAATTGCAAAAATAATATTCACAGAGTTTTGCGTTTAAAAAGCTAATTTTCTGGCGGCATGGTATTTTGGTACATCTTTACGCGTTTTTCTACATGTACTTAACAGATGAGTTCGGGGTGGGTTGGGGGGGGGGGGGGTAGGTTCAACTTCATTCACCACTGTCCGTTCACTTTAGGTCAATTATCCAACTCAGTGTATACCTAGGTGTGACATTAATGTCGCTCTACACAATTGTGGTGGTGAGGTGTGTGTGTGTGTGGGGGGGGGGGGGGAGATAACCAACTCAGAGTGAACAAAGCGTCGGTTTTTAGATAACTGTTCTAAACACACACATATATATATATATATATATATATATATATATATATATATATATATATATATATATATATATATATATATATATATATATATTACACAAATATATATTACACTAATATATATTACAAAAATAAATTTAAATAAGTAGCAGTGGTATTATGACAATATTTTTTTTTTACAGAGGGGTCCATGAAGGAGAGGGTTGTAACTGTTTCATATAATTTGTAATCGTAATCACTATCGCCAAAACTGTAAGAATACTACTACTTCATCGTGATGACTTTGTTGACCTTGTCAAATTTTCCCCACCACTACGCAGTTTGCTCATCAGTAAATTTAAATAGAGGTGCCACATAAGTTGTATTTGTTTCTGCATTGTAATTTTTTTTAAAATTAATCACATGATTCAAACTGTATATATAAAGTAATTATGTGTGAAGTTTTTTAAAAATCATTTTCTAATTCAATTATTCGTAAGCAAATACATTATACAGTTGCCTTAAACTTAACACCGCTCTTGCCAAGTGGTACTACCCGTAGGGTTTTTTAAACATTGCAATGCATCGTAATGGTTATTTTTAGAATGGCAAACTGATGAAGCTATTAATACGTGTTGTAAACGTAGACACTACTAGACTAGTACAATAATGCTTAATTGCTGCATGAAAAGAAATCTTGTGATTTACATAGATGTGCCGACCAAAAATATTTTTTTAACAATTATCATTGTTTAAAACTTTGAGTTAAAAAAGTTTTCAAAAAGGCGCCACTTTGCTGAAAATGGCCAGAGGGGGAGCGGCCGCTCCCCCTGCTCCCACCCCCCTCCCCATGCGAACGCTACTGAGTTATACATATAGAATCTAGGAGAAATGTAACTATTTAATTGCTGTGTATTGAGTATCTAAATAGTGCAATGAGGTCTTGTTCAGATAAGCCCCGCCACTAATGCAAAAAGTGCACGGGCGAAAAGTTAACCCCCGCCACTCCCCGCCACTTTTATTTTGGCCTATTTTGATGTGTTTTTTTTTTTTTATATTTAAAAAAAAAAACTTTCCGCTTTTAATGTTATAGTTATAGGTAAATAAAACAACGCAGATCTTTTCTTCAATAAAGTATAAAAATACAAGTTTCATATCCTCATCTGGTCATATTTTTTTTATAATTACTACCAGTAGCGTCACAAAACAGGGGGGGGGGGGGCTCCAGCCTACACAGTGTGACACCGTTTAGGGGATGAAAACAAGTCATAAAAAATGTAGGGGAGAGGGGTGACACCAAACCGAAAATGCATAATTGTTGTAGGGGGGGTGACACCCTCAGCTACCGTATGGGGTGGCACCCTACCTAGTGAAGCCACTGGTAATAACCCTATAGGTCTAATCTAGATCTAGAATCTGCAAGCATTGTTTAGGTAAGGGAAATTTACAAAAGATGCAAGTCGACACCACCTAGGGGAGGTAACAATAATTATTTAAAGGTAGTAGTTGTGTCCCATATAATTGAACAGCTGTGTGTTTTCCTCATTTTCCTGTAGCTTTTTTTTATTTTTTAATGAGTCAACATTTTTTTATGTCTACATTTTACATGATTTGAACTGATCTAGATAGTTATTAGTATTTAAAAGACTTCAATTAAAACAAAACAAAACTATTTGTAGCCTAAGCTATTTTTAAAAATCAGTAATTATAACTATTAGTGTACATTGTCATTAGCAAATACAATTTAAATAACATTTTAGTCATTTTGCAATTAAAAATGAATATTAGGTAATGCATAAATAAAACACTTGCCTTATTTTTACTAATATACTATATTACAGGAGGATTATGACCGGCTTCGCCCCCTCTCATACTATGGCTCAGATATCTTTCTTGTGTGTTACTCTGTGGCAAGCAGGGCCTCATTTTCAAACATATCAGAAAAATGGATCCCCGAAATACGACATTTCTGCCCAAATGTACCAATACTCCTTGTGGCTTGTAAGACAGGTAATTAAAGTATTCCTTACTAAGTAAATTCTAATTTGACCTAAGCCATATTTAATAAATGTTGAAGAACTGTTTTTTACCAAATTATCATCATGGTTGTTTTCAAGAAAATTGTTAAAGGTCAAATGAATATGTTAAAATCAGAGATTTTTAAAATGTTTTAATCGATAAATCTAAACATTATATAATTATATATTAATTTCATTATGTATTAATTTTGTATTACCTGGATGCTGTAAATTAAGTTAATTAACAATTTTAAGTAATTTCCAATTTTATGTGTACAGACTTGCGTCGTGGATCGAGTGATAAGCTAGTGAACCTTGTAACCTATAAAGAAGGGCAGGAACTGTCAAAAACCATCAAAGCTTTGTTTGTTGAGACTAGTGCCCTAACGCAGGATGGGTTGAAAAATTGCTTTCAGAATGCTGTAAGTCATGTATTTAAAATTGCTGATATACTTCTAAAATGTACATTAAATTAAAACCACCTCTAACCCTAGCTCTAGATTTAAACATAACCCTTAAACTTACTGGTTAATGTGACATATAAATTAAAAGAGATTGGATTATCATTATGGTGATCCAAAAAGTGACATTTTCTTTTTTATTTTATTAGGAAATTTAGTTGTTATGACAAATTTAAACATTTGCACTGTATTAAGCATTTCAGTTTTTAGTCCTTGTATTTGATGGAAATTTAATAATCTATTATAATTAATTTTTTTAAATATTTGAATACACAAGTCATTTGAAATCAATTACAATTTTGTTAATTTTTCTTTTCCAGGTTGAGCTTGCTCTCAATCAAAAGGAACACACTAAAAAAACAAAGTCGTTATTTTCACGTAAAAGTAAAGAAGAGCCCATTCTACTGCCACCAGTTATGCCCCCTGCTGGTAAGTATAGCTACAAATAATACATTTTTATTTTAATATAGTGTTTATGTACTTGCTGATGTATATGTGTTTTAGTTAAACCTATATGGGCCAACTTTTTAAATATCAGCTAAGCCAAGTACACTGAGCCATAGTTCATCTCTATAAGTGAGGATTAGGTTTAGTGCAGTGGTTCTTAACTTGGGTTTCATCAAACCCCAGGGGTTTGACGAGCCAGTCTTAGGGTTTGGTGGATTAACAATCGGATTTTGTCAGTGCAGATGATAGGACTATCAAGAAGTGTTCGGTGAGCGTGAATGTGAAACTGGTGGGGTTTGGTTCCTCTAAAAAAGTTTAGAACCACTGGTTTAGTGTATAGGTTTGTACCAGGAATATAAATTAGTAAAATTCAAGAATTTCAAATTTGGATGAATTTTTTTCTTAATCTAACATTTTCACATTTGCAGGCAAAGCTCCTTGGATGGAAATAGAAACATCAGAATTTGCAGGTGACTGGTTAAAAGCATTGCAGGATCCCAAATTTCACGATGTCACATTTCTTGTCGAAGGTGTTAGACGTCTTCATGCTCACAGAATCATTCTGTCTTCAGCCTCCAAGTTTTTTGGTCAAGTTTTGGCCAGTACCATGCCTTGTACGGTATGTGATTAAAGTTGTTACATTACTCAACTTTTAATTGTTTCGTTGTTTGGGAAATTAGCTTTTTAAAAGCTTGTTGTTTTTCTCAGAGTTCACAGTTACAAGAGTTAAATCAGATTGACAGTTTTCAAAGAGAGGATTTGAATGCTGGTAAAGTTGAAGGTATGGATTGATTGTATTTTTTAATTGAAAATATTAACGAAAATAAAGTTTTTTTTTAAAAGTGCTGTATGCATTACAGATATTTGTAAAGCAAAATTGAATTAATATTTGCTTAGTTTTCATTTTTTTTATTTTATGCTAAATATAGGCATATGTTTTAATAATTGAAGGAAAATTAATCTTTTGCCATATGATGATTTTTTTCAACTAGGAATTAGTTCAGTTTATGATACTGGTTCAAATTTTGGTCCCGACACAACTATAGAAATTAGTGCAGACATCAAAGCTAAGACTTTTGTAAGAGTTCTCGAGTTTTTGTATACAGGTAAAAAATTTATTTCTTAATGTACATGTTTAATAATTTTTTTTTATACTTTTCAAAATAGACTTGTGCTGCCATGAAAAAAATTATTTTTTAAAATTTAGGTACTCCAAATTTACCTGAAGATTCTGGTGAAGATGAAATTCAAGAACTGCGGAGGGTATCTTTAATTTTCAAACTCCCTTATTTGACAACAATTTGTGATAATATTGTTAAGGAAGAGGAATTCTTGAATCCTAGCATTGGAACATATCTCAGTGATGAAACTGGTGCAAAAATGAAAGAGCTTTTCTTTAATCAAGAGGCATATGCAGATGTTGTCTTTCGTGTTGAAGGTACACTTTTTATTTGGTTACAATTTATTGCATTAACAAAAAATATTTATGGTATTTCTGAGATATTTATATTTACCATTGTTTCACTTTAGATCTGTGTTGTTAAGTTAAATTTTGTTCAGTAGGTTTTCCTAAAAAAAGTGTTTTAAATGCAATTCTGTATTAACAATACAATGTTTTCAAATAATCGTATTTACTAAATTATTTACTTTAAAAAAAAACACCACGACATCATCAATATCAACCTATAAAACAAAATTTGACCTGATGCCAACAGGTAGAAAAATATTTGCCCACAAAGTTGTGTTGTGTACCAGAAGTCAAGTGATGGCGGCCATGTTTTCTGGAAAGTTTATTGAAGCTCAATCAAACAATGATAGACTTTCACAGGTAAGCTGATTTTTTAAAAACATTTAGGCTTTCACAGGTAAGCTGATTTTTTAAAAACATTTAGGCTTTCACAGGTAAGCTGATTTTTTTTTTTAATTTACTATTAAACTTATAATGTTTTAAGGTAATTAAATTTAAAGGTTTGTAAATATTTTTTTAACAGATCAATATCCCCAACACATCAGCAGAAAATTTCCTGGCATTATTAGAGTACCTCTACACAGACCACGCCCCGCTGGAAGAAAGCGAAGACCTAGTTGGGATTTTAGCACTGGCAGATGAAAACTGCCTGCCCAGACTTGCGAACTTGTGTGAACTTTATTTGAGTAAAGAGGTGGACAAGGCATGTCAGGCCAAAATACAGAGAGCTGAGATTGATGTTATAGGCTTATTAAATACAGCTCATGTAAGAAGGGTTTTTTTTTAATTGCAACAATATTGTTCTATTTTATGTAAATAAGAAACCATTTACAAATAAATTTCCTTCTAAATTTGCAATTAATATCCATTTTGTTCATAAATTAATTAACTAGTTAGTTTCTAAAAAATGTGCCTTCCCATTAGTAGGTAGACTTTTTTCATACTTATAATAACTGCTCATGGTAAAAGAAAATATTCACACTAGTCTATTATTAAATTTAATGACAACAATGCAATAACAATAATAATACTTAATTATTTATAGTTTCTTAATTATGTTTCTAAAAAACTTTCACTTTAAAACCATAACATTTTTTTTGCAGCTGTTCAATGCAAAACAACTTGCCATGTTTTGTCTACATTTCATCTCCACAAATTACGTGGCATTTTCTAACAGAAAGGAATTTTCAAGCCTGTCATCAGATGACCGAGTGTACGTTGATGATCATCGATGGCCACCTTTAGACTACTTGAAAGAGGTGCAGGAATATGAAAACGCCATGAACAAAAAGGGAGAGAAATGTGTCTTAATGTAAAAGAGAGATAACTGATAATTTTGTAACATTGTGCTAAAAACATGACAATTCCTTTTTGTGCAACTGTGACTAACTCTTCAATAACCTTATCAATGCTCAAACAATTCATAGTAATGTATTATTATTGTATTGTTTGAAAACACTAAACCATGCATATTTCCATGGCACTTATTCAAAACCTTTAAAGAAGAAATGGCAAGTTCCAAATGAGTGGACAGAAAGAATGGTCACTAGTAAGAAAGGCACCTCCCTCCTCTTCAGCAACTAACACAGCCCAAGAACGAAGAAAACACACAATCAGAACACGGAACAGAAGCCACCTGTTTAGTGTGCGAAACCAAGTTCAAAAGCAGCCAACTAATCAGACATCATGTAAAAATACAGACGGACATCGCAATCTACGAGTGCGGGTACTGTGAATTTAGCGACCAACTATACAATGATCTGTTTTAACACTCAGAAATACATGAAAAGCTCGCCTGCAGATGGATCTATTTAACTGTGGATTCAGATATTTCTCTAAAAATCAACCATGAAAATAATAACTCTGGTACTTGACAAAGGAATAGGCCAACTACAAAGCATAATGAGAGAAATATAAAACTGCTAAACCCAACTGAAGCAACTGTGTATCCTCTTGTATTTGTATTGTTATTTTGTTTTTAATTACAAACAAGACTCTTTATATAAATATAAAAACATACGTTTATAAAATGAAACAAAATTACATTAACACTTTATTTCTTTGTGCTTTTGAATGCATTGGTACAAAAGTTTTTTTAAAAGATAAAAAGAATTGAGCTCTATATAAAAAAAGAAAGAAAACATTTAGCTTTTTAAAATAAAATGAGCAAATTAATATCAGAAATGAGAAAAGAAAATTTAACAGAGAAAGAAAAAATGCTCATCTTCTTTTGTTACTTGTAAGATGAGATTCATTGCCCTGAAAATTTCAGTAAATTAATGTAGCAATATTTTCTTAACATTATGCACATACATTTTTCATTGCAATTTTTGTTTTGTGAATCAGTAAAAATTGTTTTAATTAAAGTCAACTAGAATATGTTCAAAAAGTATTCTTTGTGTTTTTTAAATAAATAATATAAATAGAATTTATATAGTCCTCTCACTCCCCCCCCCCCTCCCCGAAAATTTGAAGTGCCTATACATAGGTGATGGCGTGGTGACTGGAACTAGCATGGTGAGTGTCCCTTTACTTTCCACCCTCACCCCCCAACCACCCTTCTACATCCTCTGAGAAACCCCCGCATAACCACATGTGAAGATAGCTGGAAAAAACATTAATACCTAATGTTGCATGAACTCAACACATTGATGTGTAAGAATATGAGTGTGTTATCAAACACCTGTTACGCTTTTAATCTTGATCTGATTGTGACATAAACGCCGATGGTTGTCATTAAAAAAAAAACTGTATAGTATAGAAAGCATTCATCTTAATTAAACTATTTAGTCAAAGCCAGCCAAAACCCCACCATAATTATTTGTTTTATTTCGTGTGTGAGGGTTGCTTAAACTACACACATCTGTAAGAATATATAAGGGCTTATTTTATGCCTGTTTAAAAACGGGAAAGTGAGCCTGGTTGAAGTAAATATTTCATATATAATTCTATTTCATTCGTTGGCGGTCTCATATACTATATAGGCTGTTAAATCTTCTTCTTCGTTTTAAGTCTTAGTGTTGGAAGGGATCCCCTCCAATATAATTAAGTAAACGTGTTACTTGGTTAAGCGCCATTGAGGCCATTGACTCCGATTTCAGCCTGCTTTTCTTTTTGGATTCAGCTTCTATAGCCTTTGTCCAACCAAAAAAAAAAAAAACTGTAAGGCAGCAGTTAGATTTTGGAATTGTCTCTCCTAGAAGAGTTGCTGTCCCCAGCTAACGAGCCTCATCTACCCCTAGCTGTTAAATGATTGGTAGATCTAGTAGTCAGAGGAAATAACCTACTAGATCTAGATCTAGGTTATATTATAACATCGGATACATCGGATGTAAAAAAAAATTTATATGGAGGCCGATACGATATAGAATCTATACATCTAGTCATCTACATCTAGTCATGTATGTGAAACAACAGCTGCTTTCATCCGACAGGTGTTTCTATTGAGCTGCGCGGTGTTGCTGACCCGGATGTCGGGCAAACCAGATATTTTTTTTGTGTCACATTATCCCTGTCTGAAGCCTGTCTACACAATCGCGGATTAAGACAGTTGATTTGTAAAAGGAGAATAAGGGACAAAATATGACACACTCTTCTTGCACTGTGTAATTGTTACATGCAGGAAAGTCGAAAAATGAAAAGCAGAAAATATGGCCCAAGATCAATCTGATGGTGACTAAAAAGGCATCACAAAAATAGCTTAGGCTGAAACATGAAATCATTTGGAAAGAATAGCTTAATATAAATGTTCTTGTAATGTCTGGTAGGAATAGAGGGGGGGGGGATGTTGCGGAATGCCCTGGTTTAAATCATTGTAATCAGGTTATGCGTGGGGAGGAAAGAGGAAGTTCATTAAAGTGTCCTAACTTTCAGAAAAGCACATGTAACCTGAAGAAAAATGCTCCCGTTACAATGGTTTTAGCCCCTTCTCCATTCCCTATATAAAATGACTTAGCCAACAGCAGATAACATCTTGGATTACATCTATTTATATAGCAGAGGAATAGAGGTTGTCTACAGGATCTAAATTATCACTAATCAGAAATCATCATTCATTGACGGGCATGCTAATCTAAAATAACGATTATTTTGTGCCATTTTAAATTCATCACCTCTGTTATAACATTATACAATGATATACAATTTAAAGGGGGTTTTATATAATTATTATAGATGTTTATTTTGAACTTAAGTTGTTATGATTTGAAGTGCTTAAATATTTTTTAAAACAAATTTTATTTTTCCCGTTTGATCCGTTTACACTTGCTATTTTGTGATTGGTTGCATAAATGTGCGTGGCGTTTTAGCGGAAGCATATTTATCAAAATGGCGGACGCCGACTTGGTAGTCCGAAACGACATTCGGTCAGCAATGTGGAATCCAGGAGGATGGAAAAGCTTGTTGACATTTTTCATTTTAGCTCTAGCATGGCTTGCAGGCTTCAGTGCTCGCTTGTTTGCTGTCATTCGATTCGAGAGCATTATTCACGAATTCGATCCATGGTAAGCGAACTCGGCAACAAACAAATCAACTGCTAGACTAGTTCAGTAGATCTAGAAATGTCGTTTCTGGCAGATCAGCCTTATGATTTATCCTGCCTATGGGCTATGAGTAGATCTAGTCTCTATCCTCCAGAATTTAGAGACTTGTTCAAGGTTTCAAAATCATACTCACTACAATCAGTATAGTTGTTACCTGCATTTACAAACTTTCTAACTGTAAATTACTGATAGTAAACACAAGCTATTATTTGAATTATTTGGGGTCATCCATAAACCTCCTGGGGAGGGGGGGGGAGGTTTGAAGGCGGCCTCGGACTTGTGTGGCAATGGGGAAGGAGGTTCAGAAAACTTGATGGCATTCTATGCATTCGTCCCTTTATATGGGAAGAAATTTCAATTCTATGGCTGCCTAACTTAATCCTTGGTGGCACGTGGAGAGCAAAGGGCTGCAAACACCACACTGTTTTGGGCAGCTCTCCTTATCTGGGCCGGCCCACTTTCTTTTTTCCATTAGCTTCCCTTCCCTGGGTATGTCCAGTACATAATAGTACATATACATGAAGAGCCTTCTACTTAGACTTAATAGCAGGGTTTTTGGTTGCTAGTATTGAACAGTACTCATAACTAATCCTATAGTAGGTTTTTCGATTCGGGAAGTCTCGTTCTCGCGGTTTTGAAGCACCCGTGTTTTGGGCGGACATATAAAATATCGAATCTTTTCTTTCTCATGAAGTACATAATAGTTAAAAATAAGGATTGTATCGTAATCGGAAAGATTTGTACTCGAAACTTCCCATGTATTTACAGGGCGAATAATTAACATTTTAATAATGGCAGCTTGACCTAATTTCTTCCTTTGTCTTTCACGAGGCCGTCGAGAGAAAGTCACGCTTATTTAGCTTGTGTTTCAAGTCGAATTATTTAAAGCAGGTGCGTTACCCAATAACTTTTTTATTAGACCCAATTTTTATAACATCTTTACTATCAAATAAAACTAGATTTGTTTAATGAAATTAGGCTGAAAACAATACATTTGCTTCTGTAAGTGGCCAACCCTCTTTTTTTTTTAAGACGCCATTTTATAATAATCTAATTGCCGATTCCGGAAGAGGTGAAGGGGTGGGGTTGGCATTGACGGACTGTTAGAGTGAAAAACACTTAACTTGAATGAAAAAAACTTTATTCGCGCTTACAATTTGAAATAAAGTTTTGACAACTTAGCCATTAAGAGACAGATATGTTTTATTTACTTATTTTAAAACTGGATTGTTAATATATCGACAGTTTTTTTTTTGTTTATGGTGTGTGACTGAGTGTGTCCTTGACCTTTAAGTGCTGTTCTAGTTAGGAATGCAGGGCAGATGCCTTAGTTAGATGCCAAGAACTCATAATAGTCATCATAATTCTTAGTTAGTTTATTAAATACCACTTCAAACAGTTCTTATATTATTATTACTTGAGTAATTCATACCTTTATTAATAATTTGCTAATTGTTTCTGACAAAATATGATCATGGCACGGGCCGTCTTCAGGAAGGGGGTGGGGCGGGTGGGGGCTTAAAAAATGTCACATAGTACGTTATTTTGTCATTCTTTTGGGAAATTGTGTTTTTTGTCGTGGGGTGGGACTTTGTGAGATTTTTGGTGGTGGTTTTGAGACATTAGTGGTTGGTGAGTGTAATTATGATGTCTTTTATAGATAACGAGCCGTCCCGCTGCGTATCATACGCAGCTATTTAGTTGTTTTTTTTTTCTACTTTTCAGTAATTCATAATTTGTGAATTCGACAGTACCAATGCTGCCATTGAAAATATTTGCTTTAAAACACTAACACCCCTCCCTTTCCCCCTACCCTACACCCCCCCCCCCCCCCCCCCCGTGAAAGCAGCCTCCTCTTAGTAACCTCCTGTAAGTTTAAAATCATTTCAAACTAAATTATTTGCCCCTGATAGCCGTCACTAAACCCGTCTACGATTTGTAAACATTAACGTGACTACAGCTCACCAGATCATGTGGGGTTGGGGTGGGGGTGGTAGTGATAGCGACAGAGAGGAAGAGAGGGGATTGTAAGGCGCGTTTGCAGCTTGTTTTCTAACGGCTCGAAGAAGAGAATTATATATATAGATATTCAGTATTATTAAATTTTGTCAATCTTTTTTTTCTCACAAAATGTTAATTATGTCCTATTCTATATTACATTGATTCTGAACATCAGAGTCAGTTTTGCCATTCAATATAATATACACCACAGACATATTTACATTGTCAGATGGCTGAAGTTTACAATTGGAAAATGTTAATTATGTCCTATTCTATATTACATTGATTCTGAACATCATAGTCAGCATTTGTCAATACACCACAGACATGTTACATTGTCAGAAGTAATTTGTCTGGCTAAAACCATCAGGAGTTTAAACAATATGAATTGAGATGTATGTTTGGTATTGCAATACAAAAAAAAATCAATACATCGCACTGATTCTGAACACTAAGTCAATCTAAAGTCAATATTTGTACACTGTTAAAAAAACACAAAACTGGTGGGTCATGTATATTTTTTTATTTTCAATTTTTCAACTTCAATGACAGGTACATTATTTACAATTTTATTGTCTTGCATGTGTAAATGTGTACATATAACATTTGATTTTTAAAGAATTTACTTGTTACTTGTCGTCTGTGTTGTATATATCTTTTTCAAACTTATTGACAAGTACATTAATTACAATTTATTGTCTTGTTTGTGTACATATGTACATACATATTACATAGGCTTATTTGATGATTGTAAAACTAGTTTGTTATTATGCCTGTATGTATTGTGTTGTGTAACTCCGACATAACCTGGTCCCAAATCAAGGATGAAAAAGAGAGAAGGGGACAGTCACAATTGCTTAAATCTAATCTGATATAGTATGTCTTATCTTTAGGCAGACTGTTCTGTGCCTAAAGAAAATATGTAGTCAATTTAGTGTGCTTTAGAACATAGCTTCATTTAAGATTTTTAGTTTCTATAGAAAGGAAACGCCCATTAAATGTCACACATAATTTCATAAAATAGATCCTACTTTAGATCTTCAAATACTGACTCCCATTGTAAACTGCCTAAATAATAAGTGTGCACAGTCTAAGTAATTAAAATAATAAATATGGATGATTTTAAAATTAGAACTATAAGGCTAATTTTTTGTGTTACCAATATCTGCCAACCTTATTCATTAATATTTTTTTTTAAGTTATTAATCAATCTTGGTTACTTTTAGCTATCTACAATCATTTCTAAGCTATTTTAATATGCTTCTGTTAAGTTTCATTGAAAAATGTTAAAAATTAATCCAGATATCCACTCATGAAATCAGGTCACAGGTCTAGGAGTTTTTTCTTCATTAGCTATGCCACACGGACCCATGACTTTGGAATTTTTTTTCAGTCATAATGACTTTGCACAGAAAGTTTATATATGCTAAATTGACTTAGTTTACCATTGTCCTAGCTATTACTGATACTTTTTAAAAAAAAAAATTTCTTTTTAATTTTTCATCAAACTGCCTATCCTATAGTCAGTTGCTGATGTTTATGGTAAATTCATATGATATGAAATGCAAAGTAATAAAAGGGAAAAACATTCAGCTGCAAAACTGCTGGTATATTTACCAGGCATTTTGTTAGCTTATTTTGCTTGTATTCATTTCTTAGATACCAAATCAGGCTTATTGTAAAATAATTGCCCACAAGTGTCTTGTGTGTCTGAACCAATTATTTATTTTGTTAAAATAATTAAAAATAATTAAAGCAACCACACAGCCACTGAAATGCACCTTGTGATACCACCTTTTCAGTCACACACATTCATTCTTATTAAAACACAATAGAGTCCTTTCATATGACGTCACGTCCGTTCGTGATACCTACGTCCGCCGCCACGGTGGTGTACACCAGACGTAAACACAATCAGCTGTTCACCAGCGCTGGACGCGTTCACTGTATGTAAAGAACCGCACCCGCGGAAAAGGAAAAATATGTTAAAAAACTTGAACTCTTAGGAATTGAAGATCCTTATACTGTTATTGACAGTGTTCACGGGTGCGGTTCTTTACATACAGTGAACACGTCCAGCGCTGGTGAACAGCTGATTGTGTTTACGTCTGGTGTACACCACCGTGGCGGCGGACGTAGGTATCACGTGATTTAGGTCACGTGTTTGCAAGGACTCTATAGGATTATTCAGTACTGTTTTGTGTGCCATTATCTTTGTTCTAGTGGTCGGATAGTAGAGCTAACCTCTGGATTCTATGCTCTGGTTGGTATATCCAGGATCTTTTCAGCTGACAAAATAAATATAAATATCCTGAACTCATGGCCTTTGACTACTTTTGCTATTGAAATAACTTTCTCAAATTCAGGTTCAATTACAGAGCCACACATTATATGGTTGAAAATGGATTCTATAATTTTTTGAACTGGTTTGATGACAGAGCCTGGTATCCTTTGGGCAGAATTGTTGGAGGCACAGTAAGTTCAATCTTTTTTTACCGATTTATACTTTGCATACCTATTCAATGGAAGGTTAAGGTTGAGGTCCTATGCTACACTAGGGGTAAAGAGGGTTAAGACATGTAAGTCATACCTATTAAACCATTAGTGGGACGGAGTGGTCTAGCGGTAGTGAGCTGGACTGCTAACCCCGTAAGTCTCGAGTTCGAATCCAGGTTCAAGTCAGTAGACCGTCCCTGAGTCCACCCAACTCTGATGGGTACCTAACTCATGTTAGAGAAAGTAAAGGCGGCTGGGCATAGGTCACAGAAACAAGTGAACTCTACTTCACTTGCCCCATAGACCGTCAGGTTTGAAAGGGAAACTTTTTTTTTTTATTTAACTATTAGATAATCACACACATTGATTTTATTTTTTCTTAAATACACAAACAATAAAGAATGAGTTCTTCAAAGGCAATGCATATATATTCCGTCAATTCAAAATATACATTCTTGTTGATACATAATGAAATAAATAAAATTTGTTAATAAATTTTTATGTTTTTTGTAAATATAGGTATATCCTGGATTGATGGTGACATCTGGCTCTATTCATTGGATACTAAACCATTTGAATATTCCAATACACATTAGAGATATTTGTGTATTCCTTGCTCCGATATTCAGGTGAATTACTAGGTTTATTTGTTTAAAAAAAATTTATCGGATAACTGATGTTAGCATAAGTTTTAACAGTAATTCCTTGTGTTTATTGTGCATACATATATTCTTGTGTGAAACTGTTTTCTATCAGCACCTAAAAATAATTTTTTTTAATTATTAAAATGATTTTCTGCATCTAGTGGTATGACCTCCATGTCAGTGTATCTTTTCACTAAAGAAATTTGGAATCCTGGTGCAGGTTTATTTGCAGCTTGTTTTATTGCTATTGGTGAGTAATTGGTCGTATTTAAAATTTAATTTATTTCATGGATTGCCAGCTGATTAAGTTTTAGTGGTCTAATTAAAACAAGTTTAAAATAAAATAGAATGAAGTAATATGTATGGTTATACATTTTCTTTTCAGTCCCTGGCTACATTAGCAGATCTGTTGCTGGAAGCTATGACAATGAGGGCATTGCCATTTTTGCTCTTATGTTCACCTATTATCTTTGGGTTTGTATTGTTTGATAGCTTTCTAGTTCTATAAGTTTCAACATGTTAACACTAATTTATTGTATTAAAATTAAATCTTACTTGGGTAAAATTCTGAGGGCATACATGTTACCAATCAAATGAAATAGGGATTTTGAAATACCATCGTGTATGTAACTGGTTTGGTGCATGGTTAATTCCCCCCCCCCCCCCCCCCCCGTTTCAAGTATGCAAGACTTAAATGTTTGTCTAAGTATTTTATGTGGTTGTTGTGTGTTCAGGTCATACACTAAGCAAGAAAACATTACATTAGCATTATAGAGATCTTTTACAGCACAGCTTTATAATACTTAAGCTATCTGTTAACTTTAAAAAATATTTGTTTCTTTTTTTTTTTGCTTCCAGATAAAAGCTGTGAAAACTGGTCAAGTTTTCTGGTCCATTTGTTCTGCACTATCATATTTTTACATGGTAAATGTTTACTTCATACCTGACCATTTATTTTTAAAAGATTAATTTAATATGTAGCTTTTAATGTTTTTTCTTTGTAGGTTATGTGCCTAGTCTAGTGTTCACTATGTATCACTTTTTCAGGTCTCTGCATGGGGAGGATATGTATTTATCATCAACCTTGTTCCTTTGCATGTTTTTGTTTTACTTCTCATGGGGAGATATTCACAGCGTATATATACTGGCAAGTTTTTTGTTTCCAAATCTTTTTAAAAATAATTTTTAACATCATAAACTTGCCAAAATATTTTATTTAAAACAAGAGAAATAAATTTAGTTTTAAAATGTTTTTTTTTCAGCCTATACATGCTTTTATATTGTTGGACTTATTTTGTCCATGCAAATTCCATTTGTTGGTTTCCAACCAATCCGCACAAGTGAACACATGGCTGCTGCAGGTAAGATATTGGTTAACCCCTGTATTGTATATACTTTTTGTATGAATTAATGTAGATCCAAATTTTTAAAATAATTCATTATAAAAAAATATATTTTTTGCCCCTCTGCAGGTGTTTTTGCTTTAATAAATGCTTATGCATTTTTGAAGTATATCCAAAATTTCCTGACCAAATCAGAGTTCAGATATTTCTTCTTTGCTGCTGTAACTATTGCAGCTGCTGTTGTGTTTGTTGCAGTTGTTGGATTAACTTGGGCAGGTAAAACCTTTTATCTAGTTTCAATAAATCAATCAGAATAATTTTGATGTTCTAGCAGAAATTTGTATTTTTTCTTCACTCTATAAACTTTCTGAAAAAAATTTCAGGTTACATTGCACCTTGGAGTGGTCGTTTCTATTCCCTATGGGACACAGGTTATGCTAAAATCCATATACCAATCATTGCTTCTGTGTCTGAGCATCAGCCCACAACCTGGGTGTCATTTTTCTTTGATCTGCATATTTTGGTTTGTGCCTTCCCTGTAGGAGCATGGTATTGCATCAAGAATATCAATGATGAACGTGTATTTGGTATGTTTATTTTTTGATACATCATTTTTTTTTATTCCACTGATCCATCCTGTTTTAAGTCTGAACCAAACTTTGGTGTTTGTTTTGCAGTGGTGCTGTATGCTATATTTGCTAGTTATTTTGCTGGTGTGATGGTTCGTTTGATGCTCACATTAACTCCAGTTGTTTGTGTGCTGGCTGCTATTGCTTTTTCCAAGACATTTGAAGTCTATCTTAAGGATGATTCTCCAAAACAAAATCAGAAGAACTTAGATGAAAATGGGGAAAATAAAAATGACAGGTTGTATGATAAGGTAAGTGAATTTCTTATGACCTGCCCTCAATTATGTTTAGTTTTCCATCTGTGTTCCATGTCTGCTTATGTAATAAAAACTTACAATTCTTAGTATTTTAAGTTCACCACCCAAACAGAATAATAAAAGTATATTCTTTAGGTTGGAAATAAAAAGAAAGTTCGAGATGACAAACCAAAAGATGAAGAAGGCCTTGGAATCAATGTTAAAAGTATTATTGTAGTTGCTCTTCTCATGATGCTAATGCTCTTTGCTGTGCATTGTACTTGGGTTACGAGCAGTGCATACTCCAGTCCAAGCATTGTCTTAGCATCTTATGGACAAGGCGGGTAAGTCATTAGTAGGGCTATTTACTTTTGAATTTTTTAAGCAGTTAGTGGAATTTTGCTTTCATCGCATAACACACTTATTCCACAGAAGTCGAACTATTCTTGATGATTTTCGTGAAGCATATTACTGGTTACGACAAAATACAGATGACAAGGCTCGTGTCATGTCTTGGTGGGATTATGGATATCAGATAGCGGGAATGGGTAATCGGACTACATTGGTAGACAACAATACTTGGAATAACAGTCATATTGCTTTGGTAAAATTATTTTCTTCTGTACCAAAGGTTTGATTTAAGAGCATTTAGCTGTCAATTTTAAATAAACGAACAGATATTTCTAAATATTGTAAATAATTTTTACCTTATTTTTTAGGTTGGGAAAGCAATGTCTTCTAATGAAACTGCAGCCTATGAAATAATGAGGATGTTGGATGTAAATTATGTTCTAGTCATATTTGGAGGTGTGATAGGTTACTCTGGAGATGATATAAACAAGTTCTTATGGATGGTCCGAATAGCAGAAGGGGAGCATCCTAAAGACATTAGGGTAATTACTAAGCAACTAATTCATTTTGATTATCAAAGAGGAAAGTATGAGTGCTGAAGTCTCAAAATTTTAATTATTATTATTACAATAACTTAACACAAAGAAAACTTTTTTTCAATGTAGGAAACAGATTACTTCACACCTCAAGGAGAGTTCAGAGTAGATTCAGCAGGGTCTAAGACATTGTTAAATTGTCTTATGTACAAACTGTCATACTACAGATTTGGTCAGATGCAGGTAAACCACTGTTTTATTAATGTATATTCATACAGTGTTGTTTAATGACCAAGAATTAAGTTTCATATATTATAGTAAACCATTAGTATTACTTGCCAACATTTAAAAACTTTTTTCAGTCCTGTTCAAAATTATATCTTTTTTGTTTAAAGTCCTAAATTGTAGACATTTTTAAAAATTTTATTAAAATTGAGTCTTGGTTTAATGCAGACGTTTATACCATCCTGCCACGATAATTGTTCTGCAAAAGCACGGCATGAAATTAGAACCTCATTCTGCGTGAATTTTGTAGAAATTTTAATACAAAAAATTATAAAACCAGAAGATGTAGGCCATAGAGCTGATAAGCCTTTTTTTTGCCATTTGCAAATGTTTCATTATTTGTTTAGTTAATAGTGGAAACAGTTAGCTAGTTGCAGAGACTGGGGTTTTAAAAAAAGGGTGTAGTTGCATAAACTATTTGTCATTTTTGGCAAGAGGGGAAGTGGAGAGAAATTTTATACATCTTTCTTTAAATCTATAAGTACAATATAAATGTCAAATTTTAATATTCTCTTTGAATGTTTTAAAACTCTCAATTTCTTTACAAATGAAGTCTGTGACGTAACCTATTATATTGATAAATTTGGTGATAATGTGCATTGGTCTTTTAAATCATTTGAATTTTAGAGTGGAATTCTTTTTAAAGCAAGAAAGATGATTATCAACATTAACTCCACTGCATTAAATAGATGTGCTTGTACTGTAATTTAAGAATAGAGTACAGTTTAAAATTGTTTGTTAAATAGTACCTCAAACAGCGATATATCACTATCAAAAGCAGCGTGAACCCTATTCAAATTATCTATTTTTATTTTTTACCATTATAAGAGTAAAAATACCTTTTAAAGATGTTTAATTAATGTTTAAAACATTCTATAGCTGGACTTCCGTAGCCCAGCTGGATTTGACCGCACAAGAGGTGTAGAAATAGGAAACAAAAACTTTGAGTTAACTCATGTGGAAGAAGCTTATACAACAGGTATAAACTGATCTTTTTTTTTTTAAAAACTTTGTCCTAATTTACAAGTTAAATACTTTAACATTTGTATGTATTAAACTTGGCAACAATTAAAACGTGTTCCATTCTGTTAAAATGTGTATTAAATATCTTTCCAGAGCATTGGCTCGTAAGAATTTACAAAGTTAAAGACTTGGAGAATAGGAGTGAACTAAAAACTCCACATAAGCCCATCAAGAAATCAAAGAGGAAACCTAAGAAGGTACAAATTAGTTGTTTAGAATATTTTCTGCTTCAAAAATTTCTTTTTATCGTATGCCAGAATAAATCTATAAACACATTTTTTTCTTAAAAACAGCAATCTACTAAGAAACCAGGTTTGATAAAACACAAGCCTAAAATTGTCAAGGGTAAAAAATCTAAGCCTACCACAACAAAGCCATCTACACCCAAAACCACTGCCAAGACAGGTGCAAAATAAATTAAATTGCTGTGTTTTTGAAAGTAAACAGAGTGCATTTGGCAGTGATAAAGTATTCAATGTTATGGTGTGTGTGTGTGTGTATGAAACCAATTACAACAATCAAGCAAGATGTTCATTCTTAAATTTATTGCAGTGCATGTGAAACTGAACTAGAATGGGGATGATTAAAACATGATGTAATCATTTTAAGTAGTTGTTTTCATTTGAATATGTAATTTACTTGATTTTGGCAGTAGTGAGGTTGAATATTGTTCAGAGCCAATTTTGCCTTACATAAAGGTTTTATTTAACTCTATACAGCATAAATGGATTACTTAAATCTGTTTTTTAAAAGTGCTAATTTTTAACTCAAATTCTATCCATTGAAATATTAGATTGACCGTTATTTGTGGCACAGTAAAATACACGTCCTGACTTTGTTGACTGTGATATAACATTCCCTTTTTGTGGTTCACTGTGCTATGATATAACAGTTGTTACAACCATTGTAAAAAAATATCTTGTAACTGACGTGATTTTAAATTAAAGAATCTTTATATTTAAGTAATAGAGCTATACTAGTTGTACTGAGGTACAGGAAATAGTCGTGTAATCGGTTATCTAAAGGATCAACAAATTATTTTTAGAAAAAGCCCTTCATTTATTGTGTAATGAATGGAACCACTAATCAGACCATTTTATCCTTGTATGGGCACAGAAAAACCCTGAAGACATCAGTGTATTTAGTGTTAACTGTTATAAAAAGCAGTGTTTTGAATCACATTAGTGTCATAGTTGCATTTGTTGTAAAAGTGCATTTGTAATGTTAGCTCTTCACATGATTTTACATTTAGTTTAATATATTTGTGTTGTATTGATTTAAACATTGACGCAAATTAAAACTTAATATTGATGTTTATTTTGTTTCTTACTCAGATTTTTGTTTGACTTGTGATTTTCTGTTGTATTTCAGTCTAAATGCATTTCCATAAATGTACATTTTTGACTTCATTTTGTTGTGCTAAGAATCATAACTGCCACTAATCAAGCTTTTAACTGCTTTTTGTGTTTGATCATTCTAATCCTTATAAACATAAGCCATAAAAGAAAAAATTAGATCTGGACATACTTCAAACTATATTTAAACAAATTTGTCTTTTAAAATTATTTTTCCAAAACTTTAAAATTACATTTCTGAGATGAAATAGTTTTCCTTACACATAATAATAGGCACAACTTATGCAAGCTGCACTTTACAGAAATCTTTTATTGTGATTATATTTAGGGGTGTTGTAAATGCAGGTATTTTAATTTAAAATTGGAGTATGGCAAATTTTATGGTTGCAATGGGTCTTATTTTCAGTTGATCTTTTTTTCCCTCAAATTTCACATTTGTATTTTTTTATGCATGGAAAACCATATTCTTTTTTTTCCCTCTTTATTGTGAATTTTTCTCTTTTCATGACTATTTAAAGCAGCCATGTTATTCGTTGAAGTGTATGAATCCAGAGAATGTGTTAACAATTTGTATATATATCATGTCCCAACATTGTTGTAGGTTAATGTTTTTTTTTAAATTAAAAAGAAAACTGAGTACATTCTAATTAGTATTGTACCCAATTATACCACTCACCTCAGTGTCAAATTAAAAAGTCTGAATTCTATGCACGTCAAAATGAAATTTGAGTTTTTAGTTACATAAAGCTGTTTACTCAGTATTCAACAATTAAAACAAAATCAAAATACCCTATTAAAAGCTTGAGAGACATTCCTCACTTTTGCTTTGTTTCAAATTGTTTGGCATGCTATTTATTTTATAAACATTTTTATAACTAGATGATACCTACAGTATGAACAATACAAGTTTAACAAAATTACAATACAAATTTGCTTTCAACTATTAGATGTGTGCTACAACATTCAAAGCTCACAATTTGAAAACCACATGTTAAAAAATGTAAGACTTACTATATTCTTAGAATTGCATTTGAAGTCTTAAAGTAAAATTTTTTTTGTTATAATTATAAATAGCTGTGCTATGTAGCTTTTTACAAAAATATTTCCTTGTGTGTTGTTAACAAATCAAAATGTCAAAAAGGTAATTTGTGGGGGAAATGTTCTTTATTAAATATTGTGAGAACAAATTCAATTGGTAGCAACTTTTATTACTTCTTTACAGACCCCACTGAGTCAACCAATCATGTGTCAATTACACTCTTCAATCAGACTTCACTAGCCTTGATTTTTAACCTAACACAACAACCATAAATATACATTTAATGATATTGACAAAATGATTATGAAATTCCTATTACAAAAGAAATGCTCATATCTTAGTACAGCAGCAAAATAAAATGCTTTGTAAAATATATACAGCTCCGAGTAATATTTGTGTACCTAAAGTAATCCTTTTCTATGGTACACAGAAAAAATAATGAAATATACAAAGTCACTATCTATCCAAGGTAGACTTTTAGTGTACTCTTGTTTATCTAAAGTCTTCAGCTGCAAACATACCCTGCAATAAACAAAATTCTTATTTAACCCTGCAAGTTTTTTTAGTCATGCAGACAAAACCACACCAAAACAAAAAGGAATGTCTAAATTGTTTTAAAAAATGGGAAATAAATATAATATATATAATTTATGCACATTTATAAAGGGCTGGAAACTCACAAAATGTACCATACAGATACAACATAAAATAATGCAGGAATATCCAACTATCATGCCCTGAGTTATGCATAATTGGTTCCTTAGTGCATTCTTTTTTTACCTTAGCTCTTCGTAAAATGGAATCTTTTGATGGATCATATGGGGAATCTTTACTTGGGATTTCAAGAACTGAAGGTATTGGAAGATCATGACTGTCTATTACATGTCGAATCATTTCAGCCACCTTGTGAAAAAAATAAATTTAAAAAAAAAAATAAGAGTGAGATAATTGATAAATGTTCAGAATAATTAATTATTTGAAAATATATGCTTATTACATTCTGATTTATCAATATGATCCCGATGTCATCTCTCTTCAAATAGCTACGGAATGTTTCTTCAATCTCACCAATACTTGTATCTGAAATAAAATTATATGATTAATGAACAACGCAATTATAACAACTCACAGGCACAAAATAAGTATGTTTCAGGTTTCTGAGAATTAGATACTTTTACTATCAGAGCAATACAGTATCATTACAGGTTTTTGAAAAAATCTACCAGAGATAATTTAGATATTGGTTCAGCCTTGCAACTAACAAAAGCAACAATAACTATTAATAATATTTCTAGAGTCAATAGCCTACCCACTTTTGTCAACAACCATGAAGTTTGCATTCCTGTTTTTATTCATCTCACCAACACCACCCAGTACAAAACCAATACATGTGTCCTGAAATATTGAAACATACAAATGGTAATTCTGATAATTAAAACTTGTGGTAACATACACTTGATTAAATTCAACTATACCATAATAAAGGATTGTACTGGTTTATCAGAGATGGCTATGAATAGGATAAGGACACAATGTTGCTAATTGTTAAAGTACAGGATAAACTATAGGCCTAGCTATCCTTGATCCATAAAGCAATTAAATCACAGAATCTAAGAAACAATAGATATAGGGGCCTATTCAGAGCTATACAAAAATATCAGCTATTCAGTTTTAACAAAACTAAAGAAAACAATAAATATACAGAAAATACTCTGAAAAAAAAAAAAACCAACACAGGATGATAAATGAATAGAGAATCAGAACCAACCAGATTTATTAAATTATGCTACACAAAACCCTATAATCATGTAGAATTTATGAAAGGATGACACAAAGCTAATGGTTAGATAATAGGTCATCTGGAAAGAATTCGAACAACAGGAGTGAAAGGCGAACAACAGGAGTGAAAGGCAGTATATAACCAAATCGGACTTAAAGAGGCAATGACCTAAACTAGAGGCAGGCCTACATTTACGTAGATAGACAGATGTGTCTGTAGACAGACCTACAGCAGTTTAGAATTTACTTATTTAGACATTGAAGAATAAAACAGCAGAAGCCTGAGTGCAAACAAACTAAAAATAACTTACAAGCCCTTCTCCGTGTCCCTATCAGAACAGCTGTAGACAGTAGGCCTACAGGTTAAAATAAGTTAGAGCAGGATGTAGGTAGAGCTTATAGTGATGATTGGCTAAGAGACTGGTAGAGCACATTCCCAATTTTACAAAAATATTCGAATAAAATAAACCCACAAAAAAAAAACCATTAGGCCTACAAAACTAAAAAAAAAAACAAATCTTTCTCTCTTGACTAAACACTTGACTTGATCTTCAGATCTCATCTTGATGATCTTGCAATCATTCTAATTCTTGCTTGAGTTGAGTGTTGGACTGTTAGTGTATGCATGTCATACACAGTAAGTCCATAAGCTTCATTTCTGATCAAATATTGCTTTTCAGAAAGTGCTTACAAGGCGACATCTAGATTTACAAATAGATCTAAATCCAACGTACGTACCTCATCACCGATCACAGCAATTAGTTTTCCTCTTGCAGCGGCGAGAGCCATTTTGATCACAGACTGTTTCTAAAGTAAATCATATGATTTGTTTGTTTCCGGTTTGGACAGATTTCCTAAAAGACGGATGTCAGATTGAAATAGTCCATGATATAATTAATGCAGCTTTCTCGGCATTTAAAACTGTCATTCATTAAGGAAAATTTTATAATAAATATTTCAAAATATATTATGTTTAAAATTTTATTTTATTTGAAAACTGGGCTCTATATTAAATATGTGTGGACCTATTTCAATTTTTAAATAACCTGGTCAAATTAAAACACATCTTAATATATTGTTCTGTTTCAAGCCCTCGTGAACGTGGCTTCTAAAACAAGGTTGTGACATAAACAAAATATCTCATGTTCTTTACATGAAATCATTTCATTTACATAATTTCTGAATTAATTACATACTTTACTGGCAAATCTGTCAAGGACAACAAGAGTGACGAGTAACTTACATAAAGGGATGCTACTCTCACTTATTGGTACCCACTTCCCGTTTCTTTTCTCTGTAATAGTCTGTATATTTGTTATAATAGTAGATTTCTACTAGTTAAGTCTAGATCTAGATAATAAATGATTTGGGCTGAATAAATTATTAACAAAAACAATAAAATAATAATAAAAAATTTAAAAATAATACACTATGTTAGCAACTATCGTTTAGAATTTCCTTACGGAGAATCGTTTCGCTTTTCGATAGGGAGAATTAACTGGCTGATTATTGAAAATAAGATCAAGAGTTGAAGAGAAAGATTCACCAAAAGAGCCAAAGATGAGAGGTGATTTCAAATTTTGAATTGAGATCTAATCTAGACTCTAAATCTAGATCTAAACTAGAGAATAAGAGATCTATACTAGATCTAGTCTAGATTTAGTTAGAAATTTTAGAAATCTAGTTCCATTTTTCATGAGTTTGGGTTCTGAAAAAAAAAGACAAATAATCTTATTAGTCTTATTCTATTATAATTATTCTATGTCTACTATTGTCTGCATAATACATTCATTTATGGCCTAATAATAATACATAGATCTATTATTTATTAATATTATTATTTATTACCCACATAAAGTTTTTTTTTTAAAAGTCACTGTGAACCCTGAGCTAAATGAAAATGAATGAATTGACAAGACCTACAGTAACAGTTGTGTGGTCTGCTTCAAAACCAAAGTTTGGTGACAAACTTAATGATATTTAATTTCTTTTTTCAGAATGGAGTGAACAAAAACAATAAGAAAGGATTATTTTAAATCTAAATCAGCTGAAGTGACCTTTCATTACACTTCATTTCTCTAACATCTTTGTGTACCATATCATAATGCCATTGATTGAAGGGCTTGGAGATGAAGTGACTATTGTTTTGGGTATTTTCCTGCTTGGTGTTATACTAATGTTGGCATGGATTTCGACTCACACTTCTGACATCTTCCATCTTCGTGAAGTAGGAGTTATTGTCGTAGAGTTAAGTCAACGAAGAAGTAGAACTCAAATTCAAGCTGTAACTGATAATGTTACCTCTGAAGAAAATAACACAATAAACTCAAGTGAAGTAACATCAGCCGAAGATGTGAGTCACAGTGATGAGGCTGGACCTTCATCTAGTGATATTAATGATTTACTTGTGAGGGAAGTGGAGGCCCAAAAGGAAACAACAGAGAATGGAACAGGTTCTGATCCACCAGTTGTAGGGGCTAGTGACCAAAAAAAAGACTGTGTTACACAACCAACAAATGGTAATATTGAATCAAAGTCTTCAGCATCACTTCATTCTGATGTAGTCACAGAAAAAACTGACACTGAAGAAGTGTTAGCGTCCGCATCTGTAATTGTAGAAGAAAACAAAGGATTCTCTCATTCACTGGCTGAGGAGCATCCAACAGAAGAGGAAATCAGACGAAGAAGGGTGGAGTATTTTCAAACATCTCATATAGCCACATCAAGAAACTTCTCACCTCCACAAGAGGACAGTGCTGATTCTAATTCAGAAACAGGCAAACAGTCTGAACATTTAAATTGTGCTGCAACACCGCCATGTTCTTCTGGTGACAAGGAACATTCAGCAGATAATCAACAAATTGTACAAGAAACAACTATACCATCACAGTCAACTGCAGATACAAGAAGTAATTTATCACCCTCTGTTGCTGATTCCAATGAAGAACAGGAAAACGCTATATCAAGGATTCGTGTCAAACTTAAGTACATGAATGAAACTCAAAGACTTGTGTATGCAAACCCTTTTGATACTATTGGAGATTTTCGAAGGTGTATATTTTAATTTTTTAAATATTACATTGATTGAACTTAGTACATGATAAAATTGCATGACTTAGACTTAGTGGCAGAATATGTGAATGGTACTACAATCTTAGAATAACAAAATAGTATAATTGAGTATGTGATACAATCGTAGAACAACATAATAGCATCATTGTTTGATAAAATTTTAGAACAACAGAATAGCAGGATTGTGATAATCTTAAAAGTTTCTTCTCATGTCTTTAGTGGCAGTCAGTGAAGGAAACTAGCCCTTAGTCTCTGCTTCATGATTCATCTAGTATTGAATGGGCTAGAAATATGCTACAAAAGCACAGATAATAAATATTCTTGCTTTTTGTTTCTCAACTTTAGTTGCCTCAGCTATCCTGTACCGTAAAATTTTAGAACACACTTAAAATTGATAAACATTTTTGTACAGCAATACATAACTAAGAATACTGTTAAAAATGTTACATTATTTCCTCTTAATAACAAATTCATATTATTTTGCATTCAACTTTTTATTTCCTCCTGAATTTGTTTAACTAAATTTTATTTTCTACGAATGACACAACAGGACACACTTTCAACCAGAGCTGCAAGACAACAAGTGGGTTCGTTTTATTTACAACGGCCAGGACCTGCGTGATGACACACGGACATTGCAGGCTTGCAATGTGAATGACAACTGCACCATGCACTGCCTGATCACTGCCCAGTCTCAAGCCACTGCCCCGTCAGGTCATGGGCATGAGGATGATGAAGATAGCATCATGGGGGTGATGATGTACCCGCTATTCACAGCCATACTTTTATTAGTTTGGTACTTCAGGTTCACTTACAGGTTAGTCAAATAGTTTTCAGTTTTGATTTTTCATTCGTTCTTTAAAAACAAAATTTGTAAATATTTCAGAACATTAAGTTTAAGAACAAAAAAATAATTAATTGAAACTACCAATATTTTCACTACCTAAAAGTAATTTTTTTTTATCGCAGTGTAAACTGATTAACATTTGATTATTTGATATTAAAGTCTGATTTACTAGAAATCGCTGTTTAAAAAAAATAATACTAATTATTAAAGTACAATACAAATACAAACAGTGAATCAGTGACTTTGTGTTTTATTTATTGTTTTTAACTATATTTTCATGCCATCACATTACATTTTACCAGCTTGGTCTCCATTTTTTCAGACAATATTTCAGTGCTATGAGTACAGTCTGCCTAATTGGAATTACTTTCTTACTGGCTCTCAGCTATATTTCATCTTTACGAACAGCTGATCGTAGAAATGGTCAGCAGGCTACTCAACAGGCCTCAACAAATAGAAACACCCAGAACCACCCACACTCTGATTGACCTGATCTTATAAGCATAGCTTTAAACTTAGTAAAAAAAAATTTTAAATACTAGAAAACAAAACAGTAACAAGTAAAACTATAAATAATAGTTAGAGACAGTTATTAAGTTCCTATAATAAATTTTTCTAAACTAATTGTTCAGGTCATTCTGTTTATTCACCTACTTGAATTTATCAAGTAAAATCCATATATTAGTATTGTGATAAGTATTTCAAAAAAATTCATTATAATTCACAACATATCTAAAGTGCCTCATAATTAAGTTATTCCATAGTTTAATTTAAAGTTTTGATTTTGTTTTCAAATAGTTTTTTTCAATATTTTGGACAAAATCTGTTTGTTCAAATATGATTATTAGTAGAATAATATTCTAGGTTAAGAATATCTTTGTTTAAAATCTCTAGAAGCTTTTATAACGTTTAGCAAGTTACACTTGCCGGGAGTGTTTTAACTTCTAGCTTTATGCTATTTGCTACTAGCAATTGTAGTGACAGATTTTTCTAAATATTACATTGAAAAGTTGAAAAAAAAGACTAAACAAAACAAAAAAAATAATAAAAGATGGGATAAACATTTTATGTAAGTTTCCTCTCTTTTGCAACAGTGAGTAACTATCATGTGATTTTGTACAGAAATTGATTTTTAAATATACTTTTTATTGGTGGTAGGATTTTTAAAAACTGAATACAAGTATTTCATTGGGATAAGGTTCTTAAGAGAAATAAGTAAAAGTAGGGTGTTTGTGATTTATTTATAAAACATTTAATATAATTGAAATGTTTCATATATAATAACAGCATATTTTAAAAAAATTAAATAAGACAGATAACAATTATTGATAACTAATAATTATTATATTTAGATAAGTACCAAAAAAACTATGTGTTCAAAATTAAAGATGATGTGCACAGTGTCAATCAGCTGCTATATTCATAGTGGAGATTTTCAAATAACATTTGTTGTGATAATTTCATTTATTTATTTTGTAATCTAGTTAGAACTTTATTAAAATATCAAATTTTCAAAAGCTATGAAACTTGTTTGTTTGGGAAAAACTTATAGTCATTACAATTAAGTTGTTAAAAGCACCTTTCTTTTTAGAGATTAAACAGAAACAAACAAGAGAAACTTTTTTTATTTAATAAGATTATGTTTTGTTCCACTTTGATATGTATAAGATGATTTTTTTTTGGTTGTTTAATTAAATTAAATGTTTCTATAGCTGTTTATTGAACACTGCTATTTGGTTTCTTGTTTCTTACTCTAACTACAAGAAAAAACTCTAAGTCAGATTTTTGTTAAATATTATAATGTTCTGGTTGAATTGTATTTATTATATTGATTTAATATAAAAGATTTTGCTTTTTATTTCATATTCTTTTTTATTTGTTTTAATGTCAATTTGCATTCATTATTTGTTGTTATTTGTTTGAGTAAATAATCTCATGATGAAACTAGGCAAGAAAGATAAACTACAAGTAAAATTAATTTTTAAGGTAATTTCATAATGTCTCAGTAAACCTCATGATATAACTTTAAGATGAAGCTGCTTAAAAAAATATTTCTGAATACTATTTTTCTATATTTGAAACAAAATTAGTTCTATAACTTGAATGTACATTAAGCTTAGTTAAGGTAAAAGCTTAGGGTTAGATTAATCTCGTCTGCTTTTTAAAATTGTCTTGTTGTCATCGGTAAGGAATATTTGTACTAAGTGGAAATATAGTGAAACGCCATTGAAATAGTTTTTTAAAATAACCAGTTCACCCTAGACTGATTTGTATAATTAGATTTTATTCATATAACTAAACCTGGCTGTGAGTTCACTTAGATAATCCAGTAGATTAAAAATGTCCTATAGTTTTTTTTTAGTACTGTTGTATCCTATTATTTGATATTTCAGAATTGATAATTTCTATAAGTTTCAAAATTGTACATTTGATTGCTTTCGAATTCTAATTCTCTTATGCTTTTAGAATTTTATTTGAAAATTTGTGCATCACCGGTTAAAATATATTAAAATGTTATTAAACACATTATACAATGAGCTAAAACAGATAATCTTTAACAATTAATAGTGGTAATTAGCAATTGAAAAAAAAAAGGGAATGCATTCAGTTTATTTTTTAATTAAGTATTACGTAAACTTTTATTAGTCAGAAATCTATCGCATCAAATTTAGTAGACCTTAAAATTAAAGTGTTCACAATAACATGTTTGGCAAGTGTATTAAGATAATTTTTTTTTGTTAACTTTTTGTTTTTCACAATAAAGTATCATAATACTTTAGCATTATTTGTGATCGAAACATGTACATAATTAAATATTTTAAAGCCCATGGTTGTTACACAAGCATTTCAATATCGGGGCTCTAAATATAATCAGACAAAGAGTTGTATTTAAATGACACCCAACTATTTTAACTTAATCTTCAAAAATTTTTTTCAAAGATTAGTGTAAGAAATAAAATATTGACTACATTGACATTAATATTTTGTCACTATTGCATAATGATGCATAATTTTAAAACCGGAATAATAACAATAATACTCAGAGCTAGGAATTACAGAGGAAATACTTTAGCAGAGCTGAATAATGATTGATCTTTAAAATGTAACATTTACATTATAGTTATGCTACATCTACAGGTATTATATCCTCAGAGGCGTAGGTAGTAGGGGAGCAGAGGGAGCAGGCGCTCCCCCAAGAACAAAAAATAAAGTTAAAGCTGCTCCTTTTTCATAAATTTATTTAATAAGTAATTAGAAGTAAAAGAAAACATAGATGTATATTTTGATGATAAAGTAAAAAGTTGTCTTCATGTTATAATCTTGCTGCTCCCCCTGCTCCGAAAACTCAGCTACCCCATTTTGTCTCCAAAAAATTTAAATGTCTTTCTATTGCAAATACTTCTACCATGCTGGAGCACATCATTGAGGAATACAATATTTCATCGCATGCTGTATTACTCCTGTTGTATTGTTTGATGAATTACCCTTAATAATTGCAGACTTCTGTGATTTTCTTTGAAGGTTAATTAAAAAACTAGGATCTCCTGTGTTAGTTTCTAATTTATATTTTCAAACTATTGTTCATAATTTATGATAATTGAAGAATAAAATTTTTAGTCTTAATACTTGTATTGATTAAAAAGGTGTTTTCTTTACTGTATATTGTGTTGCTTGAGTGTTGCAGTATTAATTTCAAGAAATAAAGAAAAGTTCTATTTAAAAAGTTTATACATAGAAATGTTCATTTTACTGACATGGCAATGCTGTCTTGGACTTCCAACAATATATATATATATATATATATATATATATTCACACACACACATATATACTTATATATATACACATCAAGACACTAGTGTTAAAGTATAAAATACAAAAAGTATTCCTTTTTACAAATAAAATTTTTTTTTTTAACTGATTTAACTAATACAAATTTTAAGGTCACTTTGCACATTAATTTAATTATGCTTTCTGCATAATTACTAATGACTTGCCACAACATTAGACTTCTAGTATTGAATTCACCATTTTGTGCAAAATCCACCAAAAGTATCTTGGTAAATATTATTACACAACAATTTATTTCATCAATAGCTTAATATAAAATGTTACGGAAAACAAAATCTTAAACCTTGTGAAAATTTTACAAAAGTGGAGTCTAGTTCTGGGGAAGCAAGTTGCTAAAGAGTTAATTTTTATATCAGTAGGTGATGACCTTTTTTTGGGAATGGGCTCTACACACCGGGCATGTATTTCTTAGGTCAGCCATGGCCAGCTCCTCCAGTGTTCTCAGACAGGTGGTGTGAAACACATGGGTACATGACAAGAGTACAGTGCTCCTTGCTCTTGTGGCCATCATCTTTGTCGAGCTGGCCAAGGGGTTAGGTTTAAATGGAACAGATTCCCTAGAATGTTCCACGGCTGTCTGGCCTTTAAAATCTGGCAGTGCTTGTCTGCTGAGTTTTTCAAGCAGTTTCTTGTCCGTGTTTTTTCTCTTGTTTTCTGCCCCTGCTGTTGAGTATTTTGGTGCTGGTTGGTCCTTCTTGAATCCTAAAGGGACATCACTGCTGTTGGAACTCTTGTCATCAGTGCTGGTTAGGTGTAAGTCACTAGCCAGCTGGAGCTCTGTTAGGCAAATAGGACAGTCCACCTCTCCTCTCAACACAGCCTAGCAACAAATAAAACATAGGGTTCTCAAAGAATAAAACAACAACGCGATGGTTAACTACTGAGAAGTTGACTAAAAATGTAAAATGTGTTTCACTAAACTATCAGCATAAATTCTTTGCAATATTGAACACACTTTATGCCTACAACATTTTAAAAAAAAACCTAAACTATATTATGTGCTTTTTGTAAATCCTTTACAGTACTGTCCTGCACTATTTTTTTTCTAAACATATCACCAATTTAATAATGGGCATTCACATTTTCATAAAAATTTTTTTAGAAACCTACAAAATTTCTGATATAAACATCTATTAATGTTTAAATTTTGTCTCATTCTTAAGTTTCTATAGCACTTTTTCATATTTAAAAAAATCACTGACTATACAAATTTTAAATTGGTGATATTTCTTCATATAAAAATCAGTGACTACATGTTAAATTGGCGATTAATTGGGTGGTATTTGTGTTGAAGAGTAAAAGATTGTTTCCAAAATGTTTGAATTAATAAATCCTTCTAACCTTGAGTTGAATAGCTTCCCAATCTTCAGCTGAAATTTCATTATGTACAGCATCCCACTGACTAAAGATGTCCCTACTTAGCTGAACACTAGCATCAATTTCCCTCATGAATTCTGCCATGTTGACATCAATGGATTTTATCATGCGGTCAACTATTGCTGTAAGCTGCCAATAATAATAAAAATTTTAAAAAGGATAAGTTTAAAGCTTTACCTTAAGAAAAAAAATAGCTGTAAGAAACAAAAAAAAAACATCAAAAAGTTTATTTAAAAGTTTATTTATTTATATAAAAAAATTTTCTAAATTATTTTTTTATCAATATATGCTAGATAAGCCTATAAGTTTGGAAATATTAAGAAAAACAATGTTATAACACCTTTTCTTCATAGAATTTTTTACGTAGTTTAGGATCTTTTGGAGGGACAGTCTGTCTCAGCTGCTTGTACCAGCATCTAACAACATACCCTCTCCACCAAGACTGAATTCTGCAGCAGATACATTGAATGTCACATATGTTAAAAACATACATATATATTTTCAGAAAATAAAAAAAAAATACTAATTTATAAAAAGTAAATTCAAACATGAAATGAGTCGTCTAATGATGTATATGGTAGTTATTATTACAAAACTTTTAAAACTAAATGTGTTACAGAGCATATTCAAACTAATTAAATGCTGCATACTTTGTTGCACATCTGTGTTTATGAAGCCTTGCACCTTCATGTATAACTCTTGTTTGGTACTGTTCATGTCTGCACATAGGGCAAGTTTTTTTTCCAGTAAATCTTTCAAAAGCTTGAAGACAGGCCTACAGAAGAAATTTATTTTATAAAACAATAACTATACTTAATATACATGTTGACAATCTCACTGTACAAGTACAACAGACGTTCCAACCCATATTTTCCATCAGCATATAACAATGGATTTAAAGTACAAACAGTAAAAGAAAAATAGGTGACAGAAATTTAGCTAAACACTCTGTGTAAAATTAATCTTGTTGGAAGAACCTATAGTCTGTGCTTATTAAAATGTAAACCACATGATATCTGCAAGATATAGTCATGGCTTTACCTCAGGTAACTGAAAATGTACTAGCCCTGTGTTAAATAGCAATACTTAATCCAAATTCTAACCTCCACGCTGTGAAATAGGACAGAAATACTTGCTCCTGAAGGCCAAAATATACTCACCCTGTGAAATACATGGGTACAGGACAGCAACACTTGCTACTGAAGGCCAAAATCTACTCACCCTGTGAAATACATGGGTACAGGACAGCAATACTTGCTCCTGAAGGCCAAAATCTACTCACCCTTTGAGATACAAGGTTGCAGGACAGAAATACTTGCTCCTGAAGGCCAAAATCTACTCACCATGTGAGATACAAGGTTGCAGGACAGCAGTACTTGCTCCTGAATGCCAAAATCTACTTACCCTGTGAAATACATGGGTGCAGGACAGCAACACTTGCTCCTGAATGCCAAAATCTACTCACCATGTGAGATACAAGGTTGCAGGACAGCAGTACTTGCTCCTGAATGCCAAAATCTACTTACCCTGTGAAATACATGGGTGCAGGACAGCAACACTTGCTCCTGAAGGCCAAAATCTTCCTTACAAATCACACAAGGCTCTTTGGAATCATCTCGTTCATTAGATTTGGCCTTGACATGAGTCCACTCTTGTTCTGATAACAACTGCTTTGGTGCATTGACCAACCCAAATTTTTGTGCTAAAATAAAAAAAAAAAAACAGGAATGACTTGTCATTTCAATTTATCAATTAATTTGCTTTAATATCTAAAATATATTCTACAAAAATGCAGTTACCCAATGTGAGTGGTGGGGGCTTCTCATCTAACACATATTCCCTTTCTTTCTTGTCGTCATTTCTTCTTTTTATTCCTACTAGCAAGGGAGAGCATTATATAATTATCCGTTAGTAAATGCTGTCTGATAAAATTCTAGCTTAAACCAAAGTAAAATAAATCTATCAATTTATAACACAGTTTTAAATCACCTTTGCTTCTACCAGTATCAACAACTGGTTTCACCTCTCGTTTTTGTTTAGCCCTGGCAGCTGGACCCAAGCCAATCTGTTTTGGTCCACAGTATGAACCCAGTGATAATGTTCGAGACAGATGATCTTGAAGAGCAACTGCAGTCAAAACTACACTTGATACATCTTGAGCCTATACATTTCAATTTTGAAAACAATCATTTTTACATTTTTTATTTCTCTGTTAAAAAATAATTTTCCAATTGACTGTTTATAAGCCATAAGCCTTTGTTGAAAGGAACTTAAATCAACCGTTTTAAGATTAGAATAAGCAAGATATATTAATGCCTTTAACTTTTTGAAGTAAAGTGAAAAATCTGTATGCATTGTAAAAAAAAACAACAACCAAGCACAGAATCTTTGGCATAAATGTTAAGTTTGTTTTAGTATAAGGGCTAGAACAGTAGTGCTTAACCTTTTTGAGGTACCAAACCTCACCAGATGCATTTGCACATTCACTGAACCCTACTTAATGGAAAAAATAAGATATAGAATAGTATTTTTTTCAAATTCAAAACATAGGTAGGCTATTTATGTTACTGGTGCACACAATGAACAGTGCATCAACATTACTGTGCTCAAAGAACAAAATCATTAAAATATAATTTTCACACAAAAATAGAAACATATTGAATAATTAATGCAAATCAGAGTGACTTCTTATGTTGGCTTTCAGGCACCATTCAGAAATGTGTGTCTTCAACTTGAATTTAGTGAGCATTATGTTCATGTATTTTCCATCTCCATGCAACTCAAGGAAGAGTTATGTTAGTTTTGTTGGTGCTAGACTAGAACTGTTCAAATCACTCTGGCACAGTTTATTACTATGACGTGCTGTCATATTTGAACTGTAATAGGCCACAGTCCCTAGTTCTATTGTCCAAACTGACAAAATCTGATAACAAATCATGAGTTGGGTGTGTGTCTAGACCTCCACCGAACCCACAAAACTGACTCACACTGAACCTCTAGGGTTCAATTTGATCCAGGTTAAGAACCCTGCCTAGAAAAATTGAGGCATTGGTTGAGGCATTTGTTTATAAAAGGTAACACACACACACATAAAACCTGCAACAAATAAACTGGCTTCATTATCATAGCAACAGGTCTATTAAATTTTGGGCCCTAGCCCTAATATATTACTATACTTATACTATACTTATTATACTATATTCTATGACTACTAAGTACTAATAGATCTAGTACTACTTACATTAGTACTTACATTAACATTAGACTGTGTTACAGTAGAGTAATTTACCTAGTTAACTTACTTACTACTAACATTGTTTCATATTTCAATTTCATATTGTTTGTAAGTCTTACAAATGAAATCAGAAATATCATTGAAATATATAGGGCCTAATACCTAATAAGTTTCATAAGTTTTTGTTTTACTTTTAAGTAAGACTCAAAGTCAAAGACTTACGTGGACTTTCTTCTTAGATAAATGTACAGTAGGTTTTTTCGACATTATATTGACGATTCAGGCTTTATTTAATTTTAAGCGATGGATATCTAAATCTAGATTCTAGTAATCTATTCTATCTAGTACTCTAGATCTCACGTTCTAAACTCTAAAGTACTCTAAACTCTCTATAACCTACTTGTAGACTACAAGTCTAAAGCGTCCTAAACAACGAAATCTAAAGTAGCGCAATGAAGATGTTGCAGATTTAGCAGTATAGAATATTACATAGGTCTAGCGCGCTCTACTCCTAATCTAGTTCTAGATTTTAGAGACCTATCATAGTAACTTAGTTAAGATCTAGATTAGTTTCTAGATCTAGATCTTAGATAAAAATAGATAGATCTAGATCTAGATCTAGATATTTTGAGAAATGGATCTAATAGGTATTCTAATACCTATTTTTAGGTATTCTAATACCTATTTTACTTGTATTAAAACCATATTCCACCTTTCTCGCAGTCACATTACTTACATTTTACTTTAACACTTTACTGACTAGCTTCGACCAATTTTACCTTAAAATGCCTTAAAAGACCAGACTAAAGATCTAGATTATAGAATAGATGCTGATCTACCTACTCAACAACCGGGCCAACGAATTTTCAATAAAATTAAAATATGTCACAGAGCATACTGGTAATGATTGTTTTTTATTGCCGCCCCCCCCCCCCCCTCTAGATTTATAATTATTTTATTTTACAGGCCGGCCCTATCTATAATAATCTATGTCTATGATGTTGATTTATTTTATGCAGGATATTGATAATGTTGAATGAGTGTATGCAAAGTATTACTATCTAGTATCTATTAGTATTACTATTAGTATTAGGCCTATGATATAGATTATAGATCTACATTAGATGATATTATATGTGCACTTCAAAAGATCTCCCAACTGAATGCAAATTGAAATAGGGTCTAAAAATAAATAGACCAATATGGCAATATATATTATAATAGTATAATAGTAATACTCTTCTATTAGTATAATGTGTAATAATGGCTGCTTAACATGGTAAGCCCTATGCCCTATATTATAACCTGCATTATGATTAGCCTTTATAAAAAAAAGAAATAAATCTATACTTAACTAATAACTATTTTAACATTTTGCATGACATTTAAATCTTTAAAAAATGTGTTTTAATCTTTTAGGTTAAGTTTCTGCTTTAACTCTATCTATAGAAATATGTACATGTTAATAATGGCTTGATTGAGTAGTCGATCACACTATTAACAACCTGAAATTCTGGGGTTCATAAACATTATGTCCTTCAATATACTCAAATCTGATGGGTATCCAGAGTTTCTTCCAGGCATCTCTTCGGGGGGGCGAAGCCCCCCCCGAAAATTTTTTACCGCCCCCCCGAACGAAATGAAATTTATATAATTTATATAGAAAATATATACTTTTAACAGTGTCCGCCCCCCCCCCCGAAGAAAGTTTACCGCCCCCCCGAAGATTTCAAGTGCCCCCCCGGAGAAAAAAGTCTGGAAGAAACACTGTGGGTATCTGAACAGGAAAGTGATTGAGCATAGTGCTGACCACATCCTGTCTTATGTCAAAAATAAAAACAACAGATGAACTCTAGTTTAACTGGCATAAGGACCATGTACCTTAATAGATTTTATATCCCTATTGTGTATTTATATCTAAAAATTTTGAATTTATTTCAGAAGGTAGCAGATTTTGATGCCTTGCTACAAACATTTTCGAAACCAACAATGCCACAGTTGAATGGATATTTTGTTTACCGTGTACATTACAGCAGAAATCTGTTGGAGGGTGTGAAACATTTGGTTGCAGATCACCAGTTAGTTCCACCAGAAGATACTCGTTCGTTTGGGGCGTTGTATGCCGTTATAAATAAACGTCTGAAGAAACTTAAAAAATGGAGACGTGATATCGTTTATAACTGGCACAGGATTGTTGAATTTCTAAACAATCCTTTCATTTTTACTCATAAGTCTAAAGCACCAGAGGGTGCTGGAAATGATGTTGTGGGCAAGACTGGTGTTGATTCACTTGAAATAGCAGGGTCTACGATAAAACAAGAGGTTGGTAGTGCAGAGATGGATATAGCTGGTCCTTTATGTGATGCACCTGAAACGTCAGCACATAGGAGTAGTTTTTTTATGGCTGATACTAGCAGGCCTACTACTAGTGATACTGTTACTGTAACCCCCTGTTCTGGCTACACTTTAAGGAAAGAAAGGTGCCATCGATGTGTTATTAGGAATAAAACCATTCTTACATATCAAAATAAAATGAGAACATTAAAGAAAGAATTGAAAAGTGTAAAAGCAACTAAGATTAAATTCTTAAAGCGGGCGTTGAATAGAAAAACCAATCAGGCTGAAAGATGGAAAGCTGAGTGCGGGTTACAAAAATTCATTTTGGATAATCAGCACAGGCAAATTCTTGGCCTTAGAAGAATAGCACTGGAAGACCAAAATATCGAAATATGTAAACAGACAAACCTGTTGGACCTACATCAACAGGTTATTTCCAGCAGGTAGGCTACTTGACTACAGAGGCGTAGCGACCCTTCCCGGCGCCCGGGGACAAACTTTCAATTTGCACTCCCCCTTGAACTTTTCATTTGCACCCCCCCTCAAACTTTTACACCCCTACCCCCACCCCACCCTCTCACCAAGACAATTAGGCTTAACATTTTAACCACTCCACCCCTAATGCTCAGAGTTTCAATAAGCTATCAAATATAATAATGATCAGTTTTTATTAAGATCTAGACCTACATTGTACAAAAAAAGTAATTAAAAATTGCAAAACACCCCCCCCCCCCTCCCAAGGAAAAAAGTCTGAAAGAAACACTGCACACATCATTCATAGATTAAGATTAAAACCCCATCCACACTATGAGTGGTTTTTTTTTAAATTTATGGACTACTAGATCTATCTAGATGTAGATTACTTATACTTATACTAGATCTAGATCTACTTCTGACCATCAGATTTTTATATTGATCTAGGCCTAGAATCTAACTCTAGAGCATACATGTAGATTACTAAATCTAGATCTAGATCTACTTCTGATCATCAGATTTTTTATATTCATCTAGGCCTAGAATCTAACTCTAGAGCATACAAGTAATAACTATAACTCATATAGGCCCAACTCTATTAAAAATAATTCAATAGTTCTTTCCCCTTGACACATTACTACAGTCTTTTATGGCGATTGATGATAGGCCTAGAATCTAGATCTAGGCTAGTAATTTTTGTTTTTAAAGTTTAGAGACTCTAGATCTACTATTTTTAATCAAATACCGTTGTTTTTTTTCTGACCTAGATTTTAGATGTAGATCTAGATCTAGCTACTAGACTATCTAGATCTAGGCTAAGCTACCTAATCTAATAGTACATAATATGATAATATAAAATATTATAATTTGGAAGTTTAAAGGTCAAGTTCAGCTTCATAGCTTCACTGCACTTGCAGTGACTACGCGAATCGTGTTCTAAAGTCTAAAAACTACAAACTATCATTGAATAATTATTAATAATGATATAATAATCACTACAATCTAGACTACTTATCAATAATCTAATTTCATTGTTTAATGATGGCATTTCGTACCCCACCTGAAGTTATACTTAGGCAGTGTTTGCGATATTGTACCGGGTACGGTATTTTATAATTTTATTATTATTATTATTAACTTAGCCCAAAACTTTTGATTATTAATTAATAATTATCATTATCTGACATAAATTAATCATGTAGATCTAGATCTAGTTCATAATAAATAAATTATATTTATTAGGCCTAGTGTTGTGGTCTGTTTAGGTCTATGATTACATTTACACACACACACACACACACACACGTCGTATATTTTTATTTATATAATGTTAGTAGCCTATATGATTAATAATATTATAGATCTAGAATCTATATAGATTATAGTATATATTAATAATATATAGTATTTTATATAGGCTTATATATATATATATATATATATATATATATATATATATATATATATATATATATAATATATATATATCCTTAATGAGTTTCAGCTGTTACTGCTAGTGTTAGTATGTTAGGAAGTGTTTAAAAAATTATAATGTAGAGATAGGCTAGGTTAAAAAAAGGCTTCATTTTTTTTTCAAAAGCAGAGCTCCATGTATAGATCTACTGTCTTGTCATCAAATTTTCCAAATCAATTTTAACACGCACTTTTTAACTCATCATCATGATGTGGAGCTTGCTGACTGAATTAAACAAGCAAACTTTAACTTTGACATTTATTAATGAAGATCTTAATTAATAATCTTAGCTCATCGCCAGTTGTAAGTAAGCTGTGGAGCCATTCTATGCTGGGCAAATGGAATGTTACGAACTTCAGAGTTGTTGACACACCATATTTGGCAGCGAAGCTCACTATTCCAGGATTTGGTTTTGAAAGTACTGATCGGCATGGTACGTATTTAACGAAAATGTATAGTGTATAGCATATTAATAATGTTAGGAGGCATGGTACGTATTTAATGAAATTGTATAACATATTAATAATCAAGGAATTTATTTGATAATATTAGTGTTAATAAAGTTGATCATGCCAAACAGAATGGGCATTTTTCTAAGGTGTAGCTAGGGGAGAGCTAATTAAATTTTCACGTGCTCAGTGTATATGTAAAATATTTATACACTTAAAAAATTAAACAAATGTGTAAAATGCATTACAATTTTTATCAATACACAGTTACAGTGTTAAAAAACAACACACCTAGTATCTAGTAGTTAAAAAGCTATGTTTTTCTCAGTTGATAGGTTAGTTACAGATAAAAGACTTTTGTCTACATGCTGTATATATTTACAGAAAAATAAATACCATGCATTCTGAATTGGTTATCTGAAGATTTTGCAGAAATTTTTAGAACTAAGATAAATATATGGGGACGGCACCGCCTAGAGGTAAACGGCTTGACAGACAAGTCTTGAGTTTCAAGTCACTAGAACATAGGTTCCCAAACTGTGGGTCGCGACCCCCCTGGGGGTTGCGAAGGGCTTTCTTGGGGGTCGCCAACTGATAGACTAAACCCTAGCAAAGAAATTATAAACATAAATATTCAGAAGAATATCTGAAATTTGACTTAACACTAAAAATGGAATAGAAAAGAAACAATGCATACTGTGCAAAGTTGTTCTCAGTCATGAGTCTATGAAACCTTCAAAAATAAAACGTCATTTTAAGACGAGTCATTCGGAACACACCAAAAAATATATGGAGTTCTTTCGTCCGCATGAAGCTAGTTGCAAACATACTTGATCGAACCGGAAGTTTTCACCAAGGAAACACAGCATTGGTGCAAGTATCAAATGAAGTCGCATCAGAAATTGCCAAGCAATATTAAAAAACACACAATAGGAGAAAATCAACTGTCAGTTGAAATAGAGATCCTCCAGAGAAAATGGAAATGGATTGGCCACACACTCAGGAAGCCTGTATCCAGCATAACAAGACAGGCCCTTACCTGGAATCCATAGGGCAGGAGGAGGAGAGGCAGACCAAGAAAGACCTGGAGACGTGACCTGGAAGAATACACGAAGAAGAAAGGAAACACCTGGGGACAGTTGGAGAGACTAGCTCAGGACAGAGACGACTGGAAAGCTCTCGTCAGCGGCCTATGTCCCAGTAGGGGCGACAGGCAAACCGAATCTAACCTGCATGTTGAAGATGGTGAAATTAATTCTTGGGGATTCCAGTGCAGTCAAGATACAACAAATATCTGTCTAATAATACTATTCAGCATCTTATAGCAGACATGTCCGTAGATGTTAGAGAACACATTTTGAATTAAATCAAGCTTTCACTATTGTTTGCTTTATAAGTTGATGAATCAACAGACGTGAGTTCGTGTTCGCATTTGCTTGTCTTTGTGAAATATACTAATTCCGATAATAGCAAAGAAAAGCTGCTATTTTGTGAATATATCATGGGGAAAATAAATACATTTTTGAAACTGGATGATTCACTGGGAATACATCTGTGGGGTTTGTACTGATGTGCGCCATCTATGTTTGGGTCAAAATCAGGCTTTTAGAAAACTGTAAACCAAGGGGTTTTACCAAGGGGAATCCACTGCGTAATTCACCGGTATGTCCTTGCCAGCAAGACTCTTTCGACTTCATTGCTAATAAAAGTCGTAAATTATATTAAATCTGGAGCCCTAAACACCAGTCTGTTTAAAGAACTGTGCAAAGACATGAATAAAGATCACATGTTTATGTTTTTCTACACTGCAGTACGCTGGCTGTCAAAAGGAAATGTTGTGAATCGTGTTTTTTGATTTGAAAGATGAAAGCAAGTTGTTCTTGGATGTGCAAGGGAAACAAGACCTTTTGATATACTTTAATGACAGAGTGGTTGAAGAGAGTAGCATACCTAGCAGATTCGAACATCAACATAAGCTTAACATGAAGCTTCTGGGAAAATGCCCCGAGATTATCACAAAAACAGATAATATTCATTCATTTTCCCAGGAGCTTCAGGTTATCAAGAATAATTTATATTGTTATATTGAAAGACAACTAGAAAATCTTATTTTAGTTTCTTATTAATTTCCTCACTAATTTTGACTTTTTAATTCTATGGGGGTCGCGGGTCACTTAATTTTTATAAAAGGGGTCGCCACTTGAAAAAGTTTGGGAACCACTGCACTAGAACATCCCTGAGTCGACCCAACTCTAGGTACTTGACTCACTTAAAAGGAAAGAAAAGGCAGCTGGGCTTAGTGCTGACCACACTATCCCTTCATACTCTGAGGTCACACAAACAGGGGAACACTACTTAACTTGCCACAGGCCCTTAGATTCTAAAAGGGAATTTTACTTTGATTAAAATATAAGAAAGAATTTTTTTTATAAATTTCTTATAATTTTATTTAATTACAAATTCAACGCACATTTTACCAATTTTATATCAGCAACCAAGTTTTGAATATTATTTCTGGCTAATTTTGTATCCCTCTACTTTTGGCGACTTGCTCCAAAGGTTTATGCAAGGTTATTGAGGAACTTCTATTCTGGAACTTCTAAAAGTACATCTTCAGTGTATCAATAATACTAACATTATTTCCCTTTTTTACAACTCATTTTCAAATTGACTTAATAAATCTTTTTCTTTCCAGGCAACCCAAAAATAGCAACAGTTCTGTTCCATAGCGTGATGGCCAGGGTTTACTCCCTCAACAGGCCAAACGGAGACAGCTCCTTTCTTGACTGGGCCACCCTAATACAAAATAGGCTCAGTTTTGTTTCTTCAGTGGCTTTCACATTTTCCCCTGAGCTGTACAACCCATACAATGACAAATCAGCATTGAATGCTGAAGTTTATCTTGGATATTTGGGAAACACTTCCACTGCTCATGTCATCAAAGCCTTTTTGCCAGAGAATGATAGAGAACCTTTATGGACCCAAATAATTCAAAATGTGTGTTTGGATAAGGAGACGAGAAAACCTATAGCATTTCCAGATTGGTATGTGGAAAAGTATAAAGAAAAAGGAATCTTGGATAAAGGACTGTTTATAGATCCAATCACAAGACCTTCAAAAACATTTACTCATCAAATTCCAGTTAGTAAATTTTATGTTTTAATTTAAATAATCACGATTAGCTTAAACAACCACATAAATCATAATTTATTTATTATTTCTTTTTTATACCCCATTTTTTTTACTTAAATCATATAATTTTTCTTAAAAAGACTATTGATTTAAAGTTATATTATAGGCCTACTATGTAGATCTATTTATATTTATAAAAACATACAATGAAATATGTATAGAATCTTTATATTCTGTACCTGAGTTGCTTACAATATATTATGGAGTAAAAAATAAAAATAAAATACATCCCTTCAGACTACATGGCAAAAGAAGTAGAGTTCATCTGATTTAACAATGACAGCATTTGAAAGTAGTTTTTGATTCCATAGAATCCACCTTAAGCAATGGTTGCTCGTCCTTTTCAATCAGAGTTATGCTTCCTATGCTGGGCAATTACCTTTAGGCAGTTTTCAGTTTTTTTTACAGAGGTTTCACTTACAGCTGTTTCAGCTCTTTGTTTTTCTTCTGTCTTTCCTCAGCATTTTATGTTTTGAATTAAAACAAGTCTTCATTTTTATATTAAAAACATTAAGTAAAAAACAAAATTTTAACATGTATGGCACAAAATTTTAACATGTATGGCACACAATTTTAACATGTATGGCACACAATTTTAACATGTATGGCACAAAATGTTAACATGTATGGCACAACATTTTAACATGTATGGCACACAATTTTAACACGTATGGCACACAATTTTAACACGTATGGCACACAATTTTAACACGTATGGCACAAAATTTTAACATGTATGGCACAAAATGTTAACATTTATGGCACAAAATTTTAACATGTATGGCACAAAATGTTAACATTTATGGCACAAAATTTTAACATGTATGGCACAAAATTTTAACATGTACGGTTTTAATTCCCAGATTGTTTGGTCAGACACCGACAACAACAACCACACAAACTTCACCAGCTACGTCAACTTCGCAGTCAACGCCCTGCATGCAGCCACAGGCCAGACCAACAACAGCAGCACAGCCTGCGTTTTACACGGCGTCTCCAAGGATACGCTGCCAAATGGACTCAAGGAGCTGCAGGTTCGGTACTTGGGTGAGAGTCAAGACGGGGAGGGGCTGAACGTCCACATCTGGCAGGAGGAACACGACGACACGGTGCTGTGTTCCATTGAAAGGGATGAGACGGTCTTGTGTCAGGTCAAGCTGGTCTACTTCAATGACAGTTTGTACCAGAAGTCACTTCCTGTATTTACATGAGATAGACCTGTGTTAGGTCAAGTTGGTCTACTTCAACAACAGTTTGTACCAGAAGTCACTTCCTGTATTTACACGAGACAGTCCTGTGTTAGGTCTACTTCAACGACAGTTTGTACCAGAAGTCACTTCCTGTATTTACATGAGACGGTCTTGTGTCAGGTCAAGCTGGTCTACTTCAACGACAGTTTGTACCAGAAGTCACTTCCTGTATTTACATGAGACGGTCCTGTGTTAGGTCAAGTTGGTCTACTTCAACGACAGTTTGTACCAGAAGTCACTTCCTGTATTTACATGAGACGGTCCTGTGTTAGGTCTACTTCAATGACAGTTTGTACTGAAGTCACTTGCTGTATTTACATAAAATATTGCTTTACATGTCTGATTTTATTTATCTAGAAATCACAACCTAGACAAATGTGCATAACATTTGTAATCACATGATTTGATTATTTTGATGGATTAATCAATCAATAAATAAATCTGTCATATTATTTTTAAAAAATGTGTATTGTTTCATTTACAGTTAATTTAAAAGTAAATTATGTCTACTGCAAAAACTTTGTTTGGAAAGAAAACACTCAGAAAACATACAACTATAACATGTTTAATCTATCTGCATATATATTTATAGATTTTTATCTCTGTATATATTTATATATATACCGTATTATAATTTGTCTATATATATCTATATATTATGTATATATGTTATATATACATTATCTCTATATGCATCTGTGTATATATACATATGTGTATATAGATAGATAGATAGATAGATAAACACACGCACAATGGTTTGACAGGACACCTCAAATCTTCCCAGAGTTCATCAACTAGCTAACTAATCTACAGGTGAAATGTGAAATCTCTAGGACATTGAGCAAGCAACAGAAGATGCTACAATTGTGAAGACTTCCTCCTCTCGCGTTTTGAATTTGGGCTGGAGTCATCGGAAACCCCAGACCAGTTAATAATAACTAAATAGATTCTGTGTTCAGCTTGTTCTGTGACAACTGTTCCCACGCAATTTGTGGATTCTGTGACAACTGTTCCCACGCAATTTGTGGATTCTGTGACTACTTTCAACGCAATTTGTGGATTCTGTGACAACTGTTCCCATGCAATTTGTGGATTCTGTGACTACTTTCAACGCAATTTGTGGATTCTGTGACAACTGTTCCCACGCAATTTGTGGATTCTGTGACTACTTTCAACGCAATTTGTGGATTCTGTGACAACTGTTCCCACGCAATTTGTGGATTCTGTGACAACTGTTCCCACGTAATTTGTGGATTCTGTGACAACTGTTCCCACGCAATTTGTGGATTCTGTGACAACTGTTCCCACGCAATTTGTGGATTCTGTGACAACTGTTCCCACGTAATTTGTGGATTCTGTGACAACTGTTCCCACGCAATTTGTGGATTCTGTGACAACTGTTCCCACGCAATTTGTGGATTCTGTGACAACTATTCCCACGCAAGATGATGCCTCCCCCCCCCCCGAACAAAATGGAATTCATATAGAAAACATATTTTTACCAGTGTCCGCCCCCCCCCCCGCCCCGGAAAATGTCGATCGCCCCCCCCCCCAAATATCAAGCCCCCCCCCCCCCCCCCCGGAGAAAAAAGTCTGGAAGAAACTGCTTCTGATTGCTTTCCGGCCTTATTTCAAATCAGAGGCGTAGCGAGGGGGGGGGCGGACCGCACCGGGTGACGCCATTTAGGGGGTTGACACCAAGGCAAAAAATAGTAAAAATATATAGAGAAAAATTTGAGGGGGGGTGCTAATCGAAAGTTTGAGGGGGGGGGGGGTTGCAAATCGAAAATTGAAGGTTTGTCCCCGGGAAGAGTCGCTACGCCTCTGGGGGGTGACACCATTAAGTGCCACACCGGGTGACACCCGACCTCGCTACGCCACTGTTTCAAACTGCTCTACTCTCCGGCCTTCTTTCAAACTGCTCTACGCTGCGGCCTTATAGCCGTCTTCAATCTGCACTTAGCGGTGATTTCTTAGTCGTTTTCGTGTAAGAAGATACTTAGGTCTATTCAGTGGCGTAGCGAGGTCGGGTGTCACCCGGTGCGGCACTTAATGGTGTCACCCCCCAGAGGCGTAGCGACCCTTCCAGGGGACCCCCCCCCCCTCAAGTTTTTCTCTATATATTTTGCTAGTTTTTGCCTTGGTGTCACCCCCCTAAATGGTGTCACCCGGTGCGGTCAGCACCCCCCGCCCCCCCCCCCTCGCTACGCCCCTGGGTCTATTGGCTAACGATTGTATGGTATACTAATAATTAATATAAGCTTGACCAAGATTGCGTGCTGTAAGCTTCAACCGCTTCAAGAACAGGATAGTTCAAATACCGGTGTTTTTAAAAAAGTTAACTAAATAAACAAAAATTCACAATTGAAAAATAAAATTAAAAACTTAAAAATTCGAAAAAAAATGAAGTCTTAATTTATGTATCTTCGCGTCAATAACTATAGCAACAATACCGTCAACAAAGGAAGTGAGAAGGAAAAATAAATGCGATTGGAGATTTCTTTTAGCAAGTCCAAGATTGAGATGAGCCTAGGGCTTGTCTTACGTTTGTAATAGCCGCAGTCAACGTTTATATTATACACGCAGGTTGTATTGATGAGCCGAACATGCGGTTAACTCAAGTCAGGTTTGATGTCTTTGCCATTCACTATAGAATCGATCTATATTCTAATTCTATTGATGTGAACCTAGTTTCTGTCAGATATAGAATCAGAGGCGTAGCTAAGGGAGGGGTACATATGTCCCCGGGTGCCGACCTTAGGGGGCGCCTAAATGGGCTGGAAAAACAAATTAAAATCTAATTTTAGCTGCATTTTTTGCTTTATAAATATAAAAAAAATATATGAGGGGGTGTGTGCAAATCGAAAGTTTGAGGGGGGGGGGGGTGCAAATAGAAAGGTTTGAGGGGGGGGGGATGCAAATCGAGAATTGAAAGGTTGATCCCGAGGGGGGCGCCAAATTGAAAGTTTGTCCCCGGGCGCCGGGAAGGATCGCTACGCCTCTGTATAGAATAGATCTAGTACGGGCCTATCGAATCGATGTTTTTATTTCCCTTGATAGAGTCAAGCTAGTCCAAGTTGGGGTAGAGGCGTAGCTAGGGAAGAGCGGGTGGGGTGGCCGGCCTTGGGTTGGCCCTTAGGGGACGCTAACAATGGTAGAAAAAGAAAATGAAAAGCTCTCCTTGAGCTGCAGTTACTGAACTGTATTGTACACAGTCATGCGTAACAAGATTTTAGGGGGGTCCACCAGACTCAACTTATCCACGTTTCTGACACTATTTCCTGTTGTCCCCAGATTCAATTTATCCACGTTTCTGACAATATTTCCTGTTCTCCCCAGATTTAACTTATCCACGTTTCTGACAATATTTCCTGTTCTCCCCAGATTTAACTTATCCACGTTTCTAACAATATTTCCTGTTCTCCCCAGATTTAACTTATCCACGTTTCTGACAATATTTCCTGTTCTCCCCAGATTCAACTTATCCACGTTTCTGACAATATTTCCTGTTCTCCCCAGATTCAACTTATCCACGTTTCTGACAATATTTCCTGTTCTCCCCAGATTTAACTTATCCGCGTTTCTGACAATATTTCCTGCTCTCCCCAGATTCAACTTATCCACGTTTCTGACAATATTTCCTGTTCTCCCCAGATTTAACTTATCCACGTTTCTGACAATATTTCCTGTTCTCCCCAGATTCAACTTATCCACGTTTCTGACAATATTTCCTGTTCTCCCCAGATTCAAATTATCCACGTTTCTGACAATATTTCCTGTTCTCCCCAGATTTAACTTATCCACGTTTCTGACAATATTTCCTGTTCTCCCCAGATTTAACTTATCCACGTTTCTAACAATATTTCCTGTTCTCCCCAGATTTAACTTATCCACGTTTCTGACAATATTTCCTGTTCTCCCCAGATTCAACTTATCCACGTTTCTGACAATATTTCCTGTTCTCCCCAGATTCAACTTATCCACGTTTCTGACAATATTTCCTGTTCTCCCCAGATTCAACTTATCCACGTTTCTGACAATATTTCCTGTTCTCCCCAGATTCAACTTATCCACGTTTCTGACAATATTTCCTGTTCTCCCCAGATTCAACTTATCCACGTTTCTGACAATATTTCCTGTTCTCCCCAGATTTAACTTATCCACGTTTCTGACAATATTTCCTGTTCTCCCCAGATTTAACTTATCCACGTTTCTAACAATATTTCCTGTTCTCCCCAGATTTAACTTATCCACGTTTCTGACAATATTTCCTGTTCTCCCCAGATTCAACTTATCCACGTTTCTGACAATATTTCCTGTTCTCCCCAGATTCAACTTATCCACGTTTCTGACAATATTTCCTGTTCTCCCCAGATTTAACTTATCCACGTTTCTGACAATATTTCCTGCTCTCCCCAGATTTAACTTATCCACGTTTCTGACAATATTTCCTGCTCTCCCCAGATTCAACTTATCCACGTTTCTGACAATATTTCCTGTTCTCCCCAGATTTAACTTATCCACGTTTCTGCCAATATTTCCTGTTCTCCCCAGATTTAACTTATCCACGTTTCTGACAATATTTCCTGCTCTCCCCCAGATTTAACTTATCCACGATTCTGACAATATTTCCTGTTCTCCCCAGATTCAACTTATCCACGTTTCTGACAATATTTCCTGTTCTCCCCAGATTCAACTTATCCACGTTTCTAACAATATTTCCTGTTCTCCCCAGATTTAACTTATCCACGTTTCTGACAATATTTCCTGTTCTCCCCAGATTCAACTTATCCACGTTTCTGACAATATTTCCTGTTCTCCCCAGATTCAACTTATCCACGTTTCTGACAATATTTCCTGTTCTCCCCAGATTTAACTTATCCACGTTTCTGACAATATTTCCTGCTCTCCCCAGATTCAACTTATCCACGTTTCTGACAATATTTCCTGTTCTCCCCAGATTCAACTTATCCACGTTTCTGATAATATTTCCTGTTCTCCCCAGATTCAACTTATCCACGTTTCTGATAATATTTCCTGTTCTCCCCAGATTCAACTTATCCACGTTTCTGATAATATTTCCTGTTCTCCCCAGATTCAACTTATCCACGTTTCTGATAATATTTCCTGCTCTCCCCAGATTCAACTTATCCACGTTTCTGACAATATTTCCTGTTCTCCCCAGATTCAACTTATCCACGTTTCTGACAATATTTTATGTTCTCGCCAGATTCAACTTATCCACGTTTATGCAGACGGTGGTGGGTAAGATGAAGGTCACCAACTTTCACTTGACGGACAAGCCTGTCTTGACGGCTAGGTGCACGCTGCCTGGCTTCAGTTTCACGTACTTAGACCGACATGGTGAGTCAAGTGTACACATGTCAAGTGGGTTGAGTGCAGTGGCGTAGCGAGGTCGGGTGTCATTCGGTGCGGCACCCAGAGGTGTAGGGACCCTTCCCGGGGACAAACTTTCAAACTTTCGATTTGCACCCCACCCCTCAAGTTTTCGATTTGCACCCCCCCCCCCCCTCAAACTTTCGATTTGCACCCCCCCCCCCCCCTCAAGTTTTTCTCTATATATTTTGCTATTTTTTGCCTTGGTGTCACCCCCTAAATGATGTCACCCGGTGCGGTCCGCACCCCCCGCCCCCCTCGCTACGCCTCTAGTTGAGAAAATTGGCGTCCTATACACACACACACACCCATCCACAAGCACACACACATACACAAACACACTCATGCACACAAAAACGCATACACAAATAAACACACACGCAGAGACTAAAAAAAAACAAAAACAAAAAAGCAACTTACTTTAGGGGTAGTGTGCAACTGTCATTTTTTTAAGGTAGGGTGTCTACTGTCCCAAATAACGAAATAATGAATAAATCATTAGCACAATTATTAATATCTATTTCAACAATACATTCCTCATCAGCATCATCTTTTTTTTTCCCGTTCATGCCCAAGATACATGGTGCAGATGAAGTAGAGTTTATGTTTCAAAGACCTCGGTATTGTGTAGTCATCACTATGCCCAGCCGCCTTTGTCTCCCCCGCGTAAGTCAGGTACCTATCCCAACACAATGGCACTTAGGATGTACTACGAACTCCAGCCCAAGATACGAACTCGAGTCATAAGCCCTACTACCCAACCACGCTGTCTCTTTTTACTTTCTAGTATATACGAAGTATAGAGAAAGTCTTGTAATCGTGCAAAAAAAAAAAATCGAGATTTTTGCAAATCTCGACGTTTTACATCTCACTGATACGGAAAAACATAATTTTGCAATCTTGTCCGTATGTCTGTGTGTCTGTGTGTGTGTGTGTCCGTGTGTAAACACGATAACTTGAGTATTGTTACAGCTAGGTTGATGAAATTTCATAAGTATTTTATCAAAATCGTAGATCCGTATCAACTTTTGAGCGATTTCCGATAACCGGAAGTGGTACTTTTTCTACTTTGAATTTTTCAAAAGCCTATAATTTGAGTATTATTTCAGATAGATAAATGAAATTTGATATGTAAGTAAAAGATCTAATTCTCTACCTTCTTTCAAATTTTGAGTAATTTCCGTTGGCCGAAGTACTTATTTACGCTATTTCCGTTTTCTCAAAAAACGCATGTAAATTTATAAAGTACTAATAATATTGCGCACTATTATGCACATCTTTATTTAGCGTTCACTTGGTGTGCATTTCTTTTTTCTACGAGATTATATTCTATTTTAAAAAATGTGAGTATTTAAAATGGATTAAAAATCATGTCTAGAAGTCTATATCCCGAGTTGCCATCCCCCGTAGTGTTATATTAGAATATTCGAGAAAGTTTAGGGGAGATCACTCCCGGTTTATTTAAAACAAAAAACAATATAAAACATGAATGAAACGTTTTTATAGGTAACTACAGAATGGACGATCTGACCAAGTACGGCATCTTAGCACGACACCACCTAGTCAACCGGCCCTTCAACAACAAAACCTTCATGGATTATAACGAGGCTACACGCAGCGGCCTAGTCTTCACCTCTTCCATCCACATAGACATCTCCCCGGACCTCCACAATCGTGACGTGGACAAGTCCACCATTGACGCTGCCGTCCAGCACGGCTATGTCGGGAACTCGTCGGAGACTTCAAGGTTCCTGCTTTTCCTGCCCGGAGACACCAAGAACCCCTTGTACCAGGCTGAGACTGGATGCATCCTGGTCGACCCCGCGACCAGAAAACCGAAACCCTTCCCTAACTGGTTCAAGGAGAAGTACAGAAAGGGTGGGTTCACGGACAAGCCGTTGATACTGAAACCGTTCGAGAGGCCCCCTGTTACGTTCATAAACAAAATAAAGGTAAAGTTGATGTGTTTTTTTTAAAGTGGTACTTATTTGTTAGCTGTACTAGAGAATTGCAAGTGAGGGGGGTGGGGTCGGTAGCGGCAAAGTCTAGCCTAGGCATTAATACTGCACCATCACCATCTAAGAGGTATGAAATTAAGCATCCAAATCTGAGACACAAAAGTGCAATATTGGTTATTTCTGATTTGGCTTCTATAAAGTTATTTCTCTGACCCAATTTTAATATGTTGATTGTAATTTGACAAACCTTTACTTACAATTATTATGATATGTAAAAAAAAAAAGTAAAATCTTTATGACTATCCGTTAAAAAATGTTTAGTCGAATAAAATCACTCCAAATACTTTTAATATTATTATGTCTGAGATAATTTCTCCATGATATTTTTTGTCCTTAGATCATTCATTTGTTCATTAGATATTTTATTCCCACGTTTTCTTTAACTTGCTTTCGCCTCTGTTTGTTTGTTTGTTTGTTTTTCCAATCAAATCTTGCGATCGAAATTTCGGGCACTTCCCAGTTAGCTAGCGCGCTGAAATTTTCAGGGAAGCTTTGTTTCGGATGACAATAGAATATTCAACTGTTATTATTACTAAATTGATCCATGGAAACATTTTATTGATCATTTTATACCCCTATATAATTGTACAAAAAACGTGGGGGGAAAAGGGACATAACCCAGTAACTGTAATTTGATGAAAACAAGGTTCGGTACTCTCCCTCTTTTTCTTACTGAGTTGTTGTCACGCGGTGTTTGTCTACAAACAACCAGAACGTAACAACTGGTGGCCAGTATGGGGGAGACGATATGGTCGAGTGGTTGGGCACACGATTGCTAACCCACTCGACACGGGTTCAAATCTATGTGTTCTAGTCAGTAACGTATTCACACAACGTGTTTTTTACGAGTTGTCTTTTTACGAGTTGTCTTCGTTTACCCCAAAAAAAAGTGAAAAGATAAAATCGATAGCAAGATTTCAATGCAAACAAACAGTAGAAAATAATAATCATTAAAAAAGTTTAAAAAAAACCACGTTTTCTGATTGAACTAAAAAGTAGAAAATAAATGCTATACATCACAATAATGCAAGCGATCACTCTACTATAAGCGATGAAAAACGTGGGGCGCCGTGATTTTCTTACAGTTTCTAATACTGTTGACTCTCTACAAGCTCCCTAATAAAAGTCAATAGTATTATCTAATCAATAGTAATATAACTTTTACTTCGGCGCCCCACGTTTTTCATCGCTTATAGTAGAGTGATCGCTTGCATTATTGTGATGTATAGCATTTATTTTCTACTTTTTAGTTCAATCAGAAAACGTGGGTTTTTTAAAACTTTTTTAATGATTATTTCTGAGATCATTTCTCCTGAAACCTTTTTTTTCAACCCCCGCCCCATCCTCCCATTCTCTATCATCAGACCATGTGGCTAGAGACAGACGCCAACAACCACGTTGCCTTCCCAGCATTCATAGCCTACTCCACCAACGCGATTCACGCGGCCATCAAGGATAAGAAGACCGCGGCCATGCGCGGGCTTACGGAGGAGATCATCTTGAACGGGCTGAAGAACTTGCAGATCGTCAACTTTCAGGAATGCCTCGAAGGCGACCACCTGGATATCCACGTCTGGCAGGACGCCGCTGATAAGCACGTGGTCTATTGCTCCGCGGAGAAGGGCTCCAAAAAAATTGCCCAGATTAAATTCTCGTACTACGACACCTGCCAACATGACAAAAAGTATTTCAAACTGTCGTAAACGGTCATTACCTATCTGCAAAAATATGACGAGTACTGTTTTATCAGATATTGTCAAATTCAAAGACCTTTGTTATAAGATAGAGAAACATAGCCGTATTGCAAATATATTAGTAATAAGTTTGAAAACAAACTCGGTTACTTTACCATGTGGTGTATTTTACACACACGTTTTTTAAGTATTAAAATAGTTTTATCAACTATCATTGTTTTGTACATTTTTATCTTTTTATACCATGATTTTAAAAATTGATATTTGAAAAACTAAATTCATGATGATTATGTTAGCCGCTGACAAGAGCTTTCGATGACTCTCGAGGCTTTTCTCTCTAACTGTCCCCATGTGCATCCAAGGGCGTAGTGACCCATTCCGGTGCCCGGGGCGAACTATTTTGTGCCTCTCCCCGCCCTTTCTCAGTGATGTTTACTACTCATCACCTTTTCCTATTCGTGCCAGACACACGGGGCAGATGAAGTAGAGTTCGTCTGTTTCAGAGACCTCAGCACATGAAAAGATAGTACGGTCAGCACTACGCAAAAAGCCTTTGCTTTGACGTGAGTTAGGTACCCATCAGAGCTGGGTTGACTCAGGGGAATTCACTGACTTGAACTCGGATTCGAACTCGTGACTTTCGGATTAGCAGTCTAGCTCTCTACTGCTAGGCCAACCCGCACTATTCAATGTCCCTTGTTAGTTTTTATTTTGTTGTCACAAAACGAATGTAGAAAACAGTTTATAAGTCCATAAAGCCAAGTAGCGGTCAGTTTTCTTAACCATTACTGTTTACAATTCAGTAATGCAGCTCAAACGAGCTTTTTAATTTTTTTTCTACCCCGTTAATCGCCCCCATAACTTCGGCACCCGAGGCGTCATTCCCTCCCCTTACCTACGCCTTTTTATGTCTTCTTCCAGGTCATGTCTCCAGATCTTCCTTGATCGGCCTCTTTTTCTTTCTACAAAAACAATAAACAACAAATTTCAGATTTTCGTACAGAGTTTCTTCCAGGCATCCAGTCCCCCGAACGAAATGCAATTTATATAGAAAATATGAAAATATAGACCTATAGATTCTAAATATATACTTTTACAAAAGTACCAGCGGGGATGGATTAGACCAGGGCTTCCCAACCTTTTTTACTTTAGAGCACATTCTAAAATATCGGTAGGGTGGCGGGCACCACCTATTTTAAATCGACAAACTCCTTTCATAACTTGTCATTTTCCCATAATTTATTTTCTTATTTTCTTATATTCATAATGTATTAATAAATAATAAACAAAAATGTTTCAAAATAATAGAATTATTTGGCATTTTTTTTCAAATTGCATACACACAGAAAAATGCATTTACAAAACGTAAATAGTGCAGTCTGGCTTGCCGCTAGACAAGTTGGGACAAGTATCGAACATATTTAATAAACCTAGGCAGTAAAAAAAAAATTAAAACTGTAACAAATTAATAAAAATAAATCATATTTTAAAATAATGTTCATGAAAAAAATTCTGTCTCTATCGAATAGTCAGAGGCGGGCACATACGAATCGTTCAGCGGGCGCCATGGCACCCGCGGGCACAGGGTTGGGAACCCCTGGATTAGACATTCCTTGCACAAATCTATCAACAACCTCACAAGACAGACACTATAGTTTGAAATACCCAAGGAAAGAAAAAAGTGTAGGCCAAAACTAATTTGGAAACATGAGTTTCTTCCAGGCATCTCTTCGCCCCCCCCCCCCCCACCCCGAACGAAGTGGAATTCATATAGAAAATGTATACTTTTACCCTTCCCCCCAAAATATCAAGTGCCCCCCCCCCCCCCCCGGAGAAAAAAGTCTGGAAGAAACACTGTTTGGAAACGGTCAGTTGTAAGCTTTGGAGGATTTGCTCAAAACCGACTACACTACTACACTAGAGTGATGGGGTTGCGACACTGTTCTCTACAAGAAAGATGACGATGACGAAACCGCAAAATAATTAATAGGTTAATGAATGCTACGTCACACTTCATCACATGAACAATTAGATCCTTCGTCACACTTCAGTCATCACAAAATACTAAATAGCGGATTAATAAATGCCAAGTTTCCCATTCTTAACACATTTTTGCAATTAAAAATAAAATAATTATAGGCTTCGAATAAAGATCCATATTAAAATTAATTGAACACAACCATTATTTTTATCCAGATCTGGATCAAGATCTAGATTCTAAATCTTATTATTTCCTAATGAGAAAAAAAAAAGTCGAATAAGCTAGAAAACATAAACATGAACCCGAAGTCTAAAATTTAGCAGAACGTCTACCTCAGCTTGTAGCAGTAAAAAAAGATATGGTAGATCTGTAAGAAGTTCAGTTAATATAAAGTAGTTAAGGAATGAATGGCATGATAGTAGATTAATATGTGTATTGTTTAATTTGAATACAAGTTGATTCTAGAATCTAGCAGTTTTATATATAAGCCTAGGTCTATGATTTTATAATTCATAATCATAATGAGTGCCACAAGGTAAGACTTACTGGTAATCTATCGTTTTGGGTACGTAAAATCGCCCGCGGCTATTAATGTACGAAAACGTTACCTCATTGTCAAGGCTTTAATAGGAGTATATTGTCATGTTTGTGTCAAATATTATAGATAAATGAATAATAAACCTAAATCAATGGCTAACTATATCGATATAGGCCAGAAATCAACTTTAAACAGCAGTGTCTGAGAGCAAGATTTGCTATATAAACAGCAGCCATTTGTAAAATAGAGTGACTTCCGCCTGAATCTCGCGCTATAAGTCTATAAAAATAAAACTTAGACAAGATGGCTGCTATAGTAAATGAGCATGGTTGCATCTGTTGGAAACATCGCTGGTGTTCATTTATTATTGAAAAGTTTTAATTCAATTGTTTAAAAACAGGTACATAAATGAAACAATGAAACATTTTTGTATTTTTAAAACATAAATCCTCCTCAAAATGTGAAATAATTATTAAAATGTAAGGAGTCACCTGTTTTTCACATTACTAGTCGCGGGCGATTTTACGTACCCAAAACGATAGATTACCGACTTACTTATTTATTACTTAACTTTACTAGATCTAGATCTAGATCTAGAATCTAGATCTAGCTAGACTAGTTAAAAAAAGTAGAGTTAGTAGTAGTAATCTAGATCTAGTTAGTTTAGTTTTTTTTATACTTTCGTTACAGTTTAGTGATTAGTGGTGGAACGGAGTGGTCTAGCGGTAGAGAGCTGGACTGCTAAACCCGTATGTCTCGAGTTCGAATCCGGGTTCATGTCAGTAGACCATCCCTGAGTCCACCCAACTCTGATGGGTACCTAACTGTAACTCAGTAACTCACGTTAGGTAAAGTAAAGGCGGCTGGGCATAGTGCTGACCACACTATCTCTTCATATGCTGAGGTCACAGAAACAAGTGAACTTTATTTAATATTTCTCTTGCCCCATAGACCATCAGGTTTGAGAGGGAAACTTTACTTACTTTTTTACAGTTTAGTACTTAGATCTAGTTGTATAGTTTACTTATAATACACTATAATAGCTATAGATAGATAGATAGAGACTTTACTATCCTTATGTTTAAATTATGTTATTATATATATTACTAAGATAATGATGTGTAAGTTAAGGCTAAGACTCAATAATATATAAAAAGTATAGGCCTACATACATATTATATCCCATGTATTTTTCTGATATATTTTATAACTAACCAATGTTGTGACTCATTTCCATCATTAATGTAAGCTGCCTCAGGACTTTAACCTTGTGCTAACAATTACATTATGATATTATGTTTCTGGTCATGTTTTCTATTTTATAGAACGAAAACAGTTGCAGCACAGGTGTGGAGAAATGCTCACCTGAGTCAATGGAATGTCACCAATGTCAATGTGACTGACTCACCAGTCTGGTCAGCCAAGTTCACCATACCAGGCCTGACACATGAAAGCTTTGACCGCGATGGTAAGCAGGTCACGGATTGTTTTCAGGGTTGTTTAAAAAATTATTTTAGCCACGGAAAAAAGTGTATAAAATGTAATTTTTGTATATGTTTTGTCTAAACTTTATCATTAAATCTTCACTTTGATCTTATAGGCCTACTAAAAATAAAATAAAAACTAAAATGTTTTTAAGCTTTTAGGTTTACTTTATTTATTTATTTCATTCAGCAGTTATTTTTTATAATACATTTTTATTTTTTGCAACCTCAATTTTCCCCCATACTACATTTGTTTATATTTTTTATTATATAACATTTCCATAACTTCACTTATTTCTGAAAACATAAGAGTGTTTTATTAATTCATCATCATCATCATCATCACTCCTTTGTGTCCCCTGGGGAGCAAAGGGCTGCAACCACACATCTCCAGCGGACTCGGTTTTGGGCTGCTCCTCTAATCTGTGCCCATGAGAGCCCAGCTGTTTTTGCCTCCTCCTCAACCATTCTCTTCCATGTTTTCCTTGGCCGGCCCACCCTCCTTTTCCCCTGGGGATTTTATTAAGTAGTAAAGATTAAGTTAATTCACACCTAGCCCCCAATGTTATTGTTTAACAAATTTTATTTTACCTGGTGTTTTGTTCTTTAGATCTGTTCGTGGTGGATTGGAATGTTCTGTGATAAAAAACTTACAACTTTAAACTGTCTCTCGGCAGGTAATCCAAAAATAACCAGTGTCATGTTGACCTCAGTCATTGCTAGACAGTATGTCCTGCACAGACCTTACGATAACTCTGGGAGCATTTTCCTTGACTGGCCAACCCTGACCGAGGACAGGTTCACCTTTGTGTCCTCCACCCAGTTCAAAATGTCCCGGTCCTTGTACACGCCGGTGACCCCCAAATGGCCCCTTGATGTTGAGTTTGTTCTTGGTTTTGTGGGGAACTCTTCTATGGCCAGCGTCTCTCACTTCTACAATGAGGGTAAAACATTGGAGCCTCTGTGGACGCAGATAAATCAACTGGTCTCCATTGATAAAACAACCAGAAAGCCTACACCACTGCCTCAGTGGTTTAAGGATAAATATGCTGGGAAGGGATGTATGGATAAGGGCCTAATCATCAAGCCCTTCGATCGTCCTTCTCTTACATACAACCATTCTGTTGTGGTAAGTGTCTAATTATATCAGGACATTATTCCCTGGTTATTATTTCCTTGTCAATTAACACCCACTCCTTCTTTTGAGAATACCAAGTATACATAGCTTAAGGTTAGAAAGGTTTTCTGTAAAATACCTGAAATAAGAAGCTGCCAATAAAGAAATACGCTTATTTCACTCAGAACATAAAGTCAAGATAAAAATAGCTAAATTTTGTATTGTGAGTTTAAAAAATGATTTTGAATGTTAAGTTCAGCAATAACCTTATCCAGCCACACCCATACCTTTACAGGAATAGTAATTGCTTGCCTCCATCTCAGTTTAAACCTTGGTGTTTAAAATCTGTTTTTAAAATGTACAATGGTCACATCAGATAATTTTACAAATTTATGTCGATTTAAACATGCATTGTACCTTCAAAGTTCAAAAACATATTTATTCCAACCAGGACTGTGTATAGCGTCTGTTCATTACTTTCTTTCCACAAGTTATTCCTTCATTCACATCATCAATTATTTTCCATCTTCATGTTATCCACATTATCCGTCATGTTCTGTATACATTATTCTCCTTTGTTAAGTTATTCCCTCATTCATATTACCCATTATCAATTATTTTCCATACCCTAGTTATTTTTATATCCATGTTATCCATCGAGTTTTTAGTCCATTATTTTCTGTCTTCAAGTTATTCCTTCATTCACATTATCCATCACGTTTTGTTTCCATTATTTCCCATCGACATGTTATTTCTACATTCACATTATCCGTTATCTTCTATATCTAGGTGAGATGGTCAGACACGGATAACTACAATCACACAAACTTCGCCAGCTATGTGCACTGGACCATCAATGCCATCCATGAAGCCATCTTGATGCAGGAGAAAAAGAAGAGTTCTAATGTCAGTGCTGATTCACTGCCAAGCAATGCTTTACCCGGGATCAGGAAGGATATAATAGCTAATGGACTCAAGGATCTGCAGATTTGTTACTTAAAGGAAAGTTTAGAAGGCCAATCTTTAGATGTACATGTGTGGCAAAAGAATGATGAAGATAACATTGTGTGTTCATCTATACTGAGGGGAGGGGAGGATATATGTCAGGTAAAGCTAGAATATTTTACTTCTTTAGAGGATGAAATGGCCATAATGTGAGTGTGTTAATGCTGGCCAACATGTGGGTTCATTTTCATACTGGCCATCATGTGAGTTCATGTTGATACTGGCCAACATGTGAGTTTATGTTGATACTGGCCATCATGTGAGTTCATGTTGATACTGGCCATCATGTGAGTTCATGTTGATACTGGCCATCATGTGAGTTTATGTTGATACTGGCCATCATGTGAGTTCATGTTGATACTTGCCATCATGTGAGTTCATGTTGATACTGGCCATCATGTGAGTTCATGTTGATACTGGCCAACATGTGAGTTTATGTTGATACTGGCCATCATGTGAGTTCATGTTGATACTTGCCATCATGTGAGTTCATGTTGATACTGGCCATCATGTGAGTTCATGTTGATACTGGCCATCATGTGAGTTCATGTTGATACTGGCCATCATGTGAGTTTATGTTGATACTGGCCATCATGTGAGTTCATGTTGATACTTGCCATCATGTGAGTTCATGTTGATACTGGCCATCATGTGAGTTCATGTTGATACTGGCCAATATGTGTTCATGTTGATACTGGCCATCATGTGAGTTCATGTTGATACTGGCCAACATGTGAGTTTATGTTGATACTGGCCAACATGTGAGTTCATGTTGATACTGGCCATGATGTGAGTTCATGTTGATACTGGCCAACATGTGAGTTTATGTTGATACTCGCCATCATGAGAGTTTATGTTGATACTGGCCATCATGTGAGTTCATGTTGATACTGGCCATCAAATGAGTTCATGTTGATACTATTGTTGTGCAACTGTGATCCTATTAATATTATAGAATAATTTATTGTTTAGTTTTCTTTGCTTAAATTAAAAATCTCAAACTTATATCCTGTTGATGATAGAGAAAATAAAAACATAAACCAGACCTAATTGAGTTTAATCAGTTTAAATATCAAGATTAACATAACATCAAATGGATCTATTTATTATTATTTACCATCAAACATTAAATTTTTAACTATTACATATTGTAATGTAATTGTGTTCTATTAAAATGTTTTGTATTTCCAAAGGTCACAAAATAAACACATTTTAAACATCATAATCAGTATTATAATAAGCACTTTACCTGATGTAGTACAACTTGGCACAGATTTTATCCCACCTGATGTTGAAACAAATTGATCAGATTATAAGTGACCATTACTGAATACACTTTAATTTACCAGACTATTTTTCGGCTCTCTATTATAAAAATGTAAAATTATAAACATTTGTCTAAAAAATGATTGTTTTTTTTTTTTTTACAATAAATTGTGTTCACATTTGATTTTACCATCATCTGATTGGTATCCAGAAATTTATCAAATGTATAAGAAACAAACAAAACATGGCAAAATAAACACTGCTGTAAATTTTTTGTTTTTTATCTTAAATTGTCTTTAGAATTCTGTACTGAACATGTTGTATTCTGTTAAAGTTATATAAACAGCAAAACCTCACAAATATATTGGCAACACATTTTTTAGCGCAATTTCCTTACAGGAATTGCGATTATTAACTCGTCATTTCTGGATGGATGGATGGATGTGTGTCCGCAGCTTTAAGTCGTCTTTAAGTCGTATCTCCACCTCAACGAAGCAATATCGAGGACTAGTTCCGAAAGCAAATATGTTAAGCAAGTTCCGAGGATGAACATAGGCCAAAAAAATTCCCGGAATTCCTTCCTGGATTTCCCGGAAAAACCAAAAAACATTTTAAAAAATGCAGTTTTTGGCCCGTATCTCTGCAACCAGACCACTTAGTGACTTGAAACATTTACCAATCGATTCCTGCCATAATTTAGAACAATATTGTCGAAGAAAGTTTTCAAAAATATCCTTTCGTTCGGTCACAAAAAATTAATTAAGAATTTTTAAACTGAGTATCGTGTAGGCCTAGGATGATATTTTTAATTTAAACTGAGCATCGTGTAGGTTTTTAGTGCAAAGCACTGAGGTTCGAAAGGATTTTACCATAGCGAATGAGCGGCGGTTCGAAAAGATTTTTACGTAGGTCTGTGAATTCTAAAAAATTAATTAAGGAAATTGCGCTTAAATTGTCACTAGACTTTTTATTAACTTGTTTCTGAAATAAAGTATTTACTGCTGTACAGCATATACAAATGTCTGTTATGTTAAAATGTGTAAGTATATTTAAAAGTGCAATTAGGTTAGATTAAATGTGTATGTTCTATGTATATTAGATGAAAAAGTCTAAGAAAAGTAACTGAAACTGTATGTAGATTTAAATGTGTAAGTAGCTTAGATTAAAATGTTTAGGCCAGTATAGTAGGTCTATGCAGATTCGATGAAAAAATAGATTTTCTTGTCCCACATGATAGTGTGCAATTAACGTTTTATAACAAAACTAGTTCCACAAAACAGGCTGACTCTACTTTACCTAGAATTGTTTCATTACTAGAGGACTTTCTTGTTGCCACTTTAAGTGGGCTCTACATGAAAATAATGGGACGGAGTGTTGTCTAGTGGTAGAGAGCTGGACTGCTAACCCGTAAGTCTCGAGTTCGAATCCGGGTTCAAGTCAGTAGACCGTCCCTGAGTCCACCCAACTCTGATGGGTACCTAACTCAAGTTAGGGAAAGTAAAGGCGGCTGGGCATAGTGCTGACCACACTATCTCTTCATATGCCGAGGTCACAGAAACAAGTGAACTCTACTTCACTTGCCCCATAGACCGTCAGGTTTGAAAGGGAAACTTAACTTTACTTACATGAAAATAGTTTCTGCGTTTGACTGATGAGATCATGGGCGACCACTGTGATTCATGCTGGTCACTGCCCCTCCCCTGATCCAGATTATTTCCCATGACTTAGAGATTCATACTGTTAGGGTCAGGTTAAGGATGCATTAGGGTTGTGGATTTGGTAAAGGACAAGGTTCTGGAAATGGTTAGGTTAGGAAAAAGTTTGGTTCATGGATAATCCTATCCGTATATTGGATTAGGCAGCAGCCCAAATCCGAGCCCCCAGGGGCCACAAAGGAATGATGATGATGATATTGGATTAGGGTAACGATACTTAGTTATTGGTTCAGGGATAGGGTAATGGCTAGGCATAAGTATGCCATGCATTAATTAAAAAAAAAAGGGGGGGGGGGTGCTCTAGGGAAAAATGATACGGGGCGGAGATGATCGGTGGATAATTGACGGGTTGTGGGTGATGTCCAAGAACGAAATGGAATTTATATAGAAAATATATAATTTAACAGTGCCCCCCCCCCCTCCGAAGAAAGTCTACCGCCCCCCCCCACCCCCGAAAATTTCAAGTGCCCCCCCCCGGAGAAAAAAGTCTGGAAGAAACACTGCACTCCACCCCCCGATCGAGTTATTAATGCGGGCGTCTATGGGTCTATGGCTGACACCAAAACTTTTTTTTAAATTAAAGTTACGCGGTAGTGAATCCCCAACGAATAAAAGTTGCATTGTGTTATAAATAAAAGTAAAAACTAACCGTAAAGAAAAAAAAACGGATGCAGGTCGTGTTTCGGTGTTTTTATTTTGTATTGGTACGTGGCGTCAAGTAGACGTAAAATGAGACCTCGGCGTCCCTGAGTTCATGTCATAGTGTAATAAAACCTGGCAAGGCAGACTTGTTTTTTAAATTATCGACTGCCTGGCGGTATTACTTCCACCGTTATCCTATTCATAAACAATAGCAGTAGCATCAATAGATTTAAGGCGTCGTCTATGGGGGTTGTCCATAAACAAATTTGCACTCCAAAAAGTGAAGGGGGGTTTCTGATGTTTGTGCCGATATTTGACGTGAACGAGGGAGAAAGCGTGGCGAAATACATTTTAATTTTTAAAAAATAAAATTAGGAGCTACATTTTAGAATTAAAATTTTTTTCTTTTCTGAAAGATTAGCCATAGTGCTGATTACATTATTTCATTATATGCCGGGGTCAACATCTGTAACAAAGCTGTAACATTGAATAATATACAACTTTGATGCCAGATTTCGGTAAAACACCAAAGACTCTCACACTAAAAGTAAAAGCTGAAAGGCAGGGTTTGTTTCAGACATTTTTTTCTTTTTTTTTGGGGAAGAGGAGGGGGGGGGGGGCACTAAAAATTTCAGGGGGGGGGGGGGCGGAGAGATGTATGATAGAAAGGCTGCTAAGTGGAGTCCAATGATTATTATTCGCAACTACGTGTTTTTGTATATTTTGTCAAAGAAGCAGTCCTAAAAAATAAAAAAAATTTAACAAACTAAAGCTGAAAATAAAATTGATTTTCCCCTGAATTTCCGCTATAAATTATATAAATATTATAAATGTAACAAAAACATGTTTAATTTACCAGTAAAACTACATGTCTTTTGACACATTTCAACCCGATCTGTCACAAATATGTAACACGGACGTATCACATTTATAAGAGAAACTTTAGTTGGTAACTTCTTTTTTGTCTTATACGCCCTCAACCCCTGGGTAGGTCATACAATAGTCACAACATTAAGTTTTTGTTTTTTTTTTTTAGAAAAAAAAAATCACTAAGTTTTGATAAGATTGCATTCAAGTTTTAAAAGGGGGTCGGCGTGGTCGAGTCGGTAAAGCTCATGGTTGCTAAACCGAAAAGTCTCAAGTTCGAACCCTCGGGCAGATGAGGCTCGTTAGCTGGGGACAGCCACTCTTCTAGGAGAGACAACTCCAAAATCAAACAACTGCTGCCTTGTAGTTTGTTCTTGGTTGGACAAAGGCTATGGAAGCAAATCCAAAAAGAAAAGCAGGCTGAAATCGGAGTCAATGGCCTCAATGGCGCATAACCAGTTGACACGTACCGCTTAATTGTGTTGGAGGCGTGATCGAGTCGGCAAAAAGCTCATGGTTGATAAATTCGAACAAAGTCTCGAGTTCAAACCCACTGGCAGATAAATCTCGATCCCCTTCAACACTAATAATTAAGAACGAAGAAGAAGAAGAAGTTTTAAAATAGCTAGCTAATCCCCCACTTTAAGCTTTTTCTAAGCTGATTTCATTTGATTTTATTTTTGTAAGGATATTAGATCAGAGGCGTAGCGAGGGGGTGGGGCAAAAATAACAAAATATATAGAGAAAAATTTGAGGGGGGGGGTGCAAATCGAAAGTTTGAGGGGGGTGCAAATCGAAAGTTTGTGGGGGGGGGGGGTGTAAATCGAAAATTGAAAGTTTGTCCCTGGGAAGCTCGCTACGCCTCTGGGGTGACACCATTAAGTGCCGCACCAGGTGACACCGGATCTCGCTACGCCACTGTATTAGATCAGTGCCTTACCTGCCCCCCCCCCATTATATAAATGTCATAGAGAATATATACTTTAACAAGTGTCCCCCTCCCTTCCCCTCCTCTTGAAGATTCAAACGCTCCCCGGCCAAAAGTTCCAAGTGCCCCCCCCCCCCACCCACACCCTAGTTAAAAATGTCCGAAATCAACCCTGTATAATGTCTAGTTCATTACCTCATTACCGTTAAATTAAATATTTCCCCACCAATCTCCCGCGGTCAATAAATCCCCCGTTCCCTAATACACAGAAGTCAATCGTCTCGATGAACTGCCGTGTCTGCAATGTTCCGAATGTTGCGACGACACAAACCAATTAGTGGGGCGCCCTGTTGAACAGAATTGAACCCGATGTACAACACCGCGACAAATACGGAACAAGATGGCGGACTTTAAGCGCGTGGCTTCACCAAGCCAACGATGGAAACAAACGGTTTAGAGATTACGTTTCTTTCAACTTTCATTTTGATCACTTGGATCTAAATTTGCGAGAGAAGGCGGCCATGTCGATTCAAGTCTGATTAATAAGGGGAAATAATAGAAATGGGAAGTAAGTAGACTATGTTTAATGTTGTTGATAATAAATAAGTAGATACATAAATAACAGATTAAAAGGTTAAAAAAAGATAAAACAAAATAAGTATTAATAAAATGTCATTATTAACACCAGTGAAAAGACTCTCGAAATGCTTATTAAATATTTTAAAATTGTGAGTATTATTATTAAAAACAATATTGTTATAAAAACTTTATTTTGAAGTTTCAGTCGGACTTTGAAGATTTTTGATTACACAAGTAAAGTTTTGACAATATCGGTAGATCTATATAAACAAAAAATATATATAAACGAAAATTAATGAAAAGTAAGCTAGGTATAGTTAGGTATATAATCTACAGCCATTCAATGGTTATTTTACGACAGTGAAACGTCTTATAGATCTAATTCAGGCTTGATGAAAATAAATACAAATGTAGCTTAATTACCCAGACATCTTTTAAATTTCTCTGCATTTGTAGCTTTTAGAACACAGATTTTAAATTATGAAGTTTACGGCCGGTATGCAGACTAAATTAACAAAAAACACGAATTT